CAGGTCCACACAAACAATAGCACCTGAATGTCATAGTAGCCAAAAGGTAGAAACAAACCAAATACTATCTATCAACTGATGAATGAATCAATAGAACAGTATATCCAACCATGGAATATTATTCCATAAAGAGGAGTGAAGTACTGGTAAATTCTGCAATATGGATGAACCTTGGAAACCTGCTAAGTGAAAGACAAAAGGCTACATAGTATATAATTCTGTTTATATCAGATGTTCAGAATGGGCAGATGCATAAGGACAGAAAGTACACTGGTGCTGACGGAGGCTGGGAGGAGGAGGAAATGAAGAAAGCCGATGAATATGGGGTTTCTTTTTGGGATAATGAAAAGATTGTGAAATTTTATTTTGGCAGTTTGTTGCACCACTAAATATATTAAAAAACTACTGAATTGAATACTTTGACAAGAATGAATTGTATATAGCATATGAATTACAAGTATATCTCAAGCTGATAGTGAACAAAAAAAAGTTCAAGCAGTAGTATGAAAATCTCAGTTCAAGAACCCTCCAGGAAGGGGAAAAAACATCTGTATGGGCACAATGTAATAAGTGGGATTGTGAGCACCCAAAAATGAGACTGGAGAAGTTTGTTGTGGCTGGCCTTGTAAGCCTTGTTACACATCTCTGACTTTTTCCAAAGGCTGGAAACCTTTCAAGAGTTTGAAGCAGGGATTGACAGGGTAAGCTGGTTTTAAAACTGCCCTTTCCCAACATGTTTACTAGTGCACTATTCGCCTGCTTGCAACATCCAAATCAACATTAAATTTCTAACTTTTCACTGTTTTTGAAAGTCAACAAGCAACAAAAACATCAGGAACACTGGTTCCACAGAAGGTACTGGAAAGAATACAGAAAAGCACATGAAATCCCCAAGCTGATTAACTGTACCGTGGTTCTCCGTTAACAAGCCCGTCTCTGGCTTTGGCCCCATTCCACCTTAACTGACCGCAAAGCCCTAAAATTCCTCCTGACCACTGTACAGAGACTTTCATGGGGCCCAGCTGTGGCTGTAGGCTAAGCCTTTGCCTGCGATGCTGGCAGTCCATGTCCCAGCTGCTCCTTTTCCATCCAACTCTGCTTATGGCCTGGGAAAGCAGTGGAAGACGACCCAAGTGCTTGGGCCCCTGCGCTCATGTTGGAGATCCAGAACTGGAAACTCCTGGCTTCAGGTTGCCCAGTTCTGGTCGTTATGGCCATTTGAGGAGCAAACCAGCGGATGGAAAACCTTTCTCTGTCCCTCCTCACTCCTCTCTCTCTCTCTCTAACTACCTCAAGGAAATAAAATCTTTTTTTAAAAAATGCTTTCATGAATGGAAGCTAATGAGCAAATTTGTTTAATGGAAGTAAACAGTCTGCCCTGAGAAACACACAAAAAAAAGTCCCTGAAATGAGAAAAGTAACAAAACCAGTTAATTTTACTGCTACATAGATTTTTAATGTTGATTATAGGAAATAATATATAGGAAGTAATACTAGGAAACCACAGTAGATTTTGGAGAATATTTTAATTAACTTTATCATAGTACTAATTAAATCCCCCATGAAATAGTGTATAGATCATGAGACATTAATAAGACTTGTCTCAAAGAATAAGATCATTCATTTTGTTGTTTTTTTTTTTTTAATTTGCACGTTATTTGAAAAGCAAAGAAAGATTTTCCATCTGATGATGTACTCCCCAAATCTCTACAACAGCCATGACTGGGCCAGGCCAAAGCCAGGAGCCCAGAACTCAATCCAGATCTTCCACACGGGTGGCAGGGAGCCAGCTAACAACTGTCATCTTTGCCTCCCAGGAGTGCATTCGCAACGGCTGGAATCAGAAGTGGAGCTGGAACTCGAACCCAGGCACTCCAGTATGGGATGTGGGTATCCCGAGTGCTGTCTTAACTGCTGTGTCAAACACCATCTCAAGCATTAGATATTTTAAATGCAAATAAAAACGAGGTAATATTTTTAGACTACTAAGTTACTAAATGGTTTCTTTGTGTTGTAATGAAATATATATGCCATAAAATTTACTATCTTAACCAAGTTTCTATAGCAGTAAGACCATTCAGAGTATTGTGGAACCATCACCATTATCCATATCCAGAAATTTTTCAGCATACCAAACAGAAACTCTCCCTTTTCCTCTTCTTCGCAACTCCTAGTAACTTACCTCTCTTCTACTTTCTATGCCCATGAATTTTCTATTGGAAATAACTCATATAAGTAGAATCATGACATATTTATCATCTTGTGTCTGGCTTATTTCACTTAACAATTTTCAAAGTTCATGTTGTCGTGCATATTAGAATTTCAGCCTTTCTTCAGGATGAATAAAATGCTATTGTACATACCATGCTTTGCTTATCCATCTGTTAGTGAATATGAAAGACTTTGAACTACTAAGAGACGTGATAAAAATGATGTTTGAGGATAGCTCTGACAGCTGTGTTTTCCAAGTCAGATCTCAGAATATTTTTTCTGATAATTTATAAGTCAATAATTTCAATAGTTTTACAAAGCTCTAAAAGATAAAATGAAGTTATATATGTAATAAATCAGTGCTGAGAACAATGGAGATGCTTAGAAAATCAAAGCACTAAAGCTACAGGTTTTCTGAATGATAGGCAAGAAATGAACCATTCTTGAACTTCAAAAAAGTAAACAAATCCAAAACCTGTTCCCTTTTTTTTTTCTTTTCCCCAAGTCCCAGAGCTCAGACCAGCCTTTGCCCAGCAGGGCACACACTGTGTACAAACCTTTGCTTCCCAACAGGTCACCCAGACAGTTGCTAACATCTAGGAGCTAAAATGGGACTGCCGGCAATCTCTGCTGCTCTTGTGGTTTGTGTTACTTGCCTGATTTTCCTTTTTGTGTGGAAGAAAAGTCACAGAGGGGGAAGGCTTCCCCCTGGCCCAACTCCCCTTCCTATCATTGGGAATATGCTGCAGCTCAACCTCCGCGATATCCCTGCATCTCTCTCCCAGGTAAGGAGCTTTGATTCTGGGCTGGTCATCTCAACAGCACTATGGGATGACTCTCAGGTCTTCTCATCACATGAGCATTGGAGTGTTGTTTTTGTATTAACAGATGTACAGAGTTCTCTTTTTCAGGATAGGATCACATTTAGAGCAGGTAGTAAGGGGTGTTAGAGCTGACTTGATGTGCTAGTTGAGTTATAATATCTGAGAAAACTGAGGGATTCAAGCATATTTTAACTTATAGGCTTCTAGTCCTCTTGAAAAAGTTCATGGAAAATAGCATTTTAAAAATAAGTTGATTTTGGTATGAAAGAGTTGCAAAATCCACACAGCTTTTTTTTTTTTTTTTTAAATACATGTTTTCCATGAACTTTCTGATCCTTTGTGTGGATTTCATATTTTACACCCAAAGAAGCCTATTTTTAATTGTTTTTCACAATTTTTGAAGTATCTTCATATAACATCAAAAGGCAAGCCAGCAAATTAATGATGTGCTAAATGTCCTTTCATGTTGTTGTTGCTGTTATTATTATACACTACTTGATTTATGGGAGGCTTTGTCAGCTTCCTGAGAATGACCCCTGCCTCCCTCCCCAACACCCTGCTCCATTGCAGCACAGCTCAGGTACCCTGGCTTTTACAGCTGGAGAAATTCTGTCTCCATGAGCTCATTGTGCAAAAACATTCTCCAAGACATAGGAAACAGCACAAGAGATTTCTCAGATTGTGAGCCCTAGCATTAAGTAATTAATTAGTTACACATGTAATGTGTCCCTCCTGTTTGACAAGATGTCCTTTAGACTCTGGGAATATTACAGTGAACAAAAGAAGATAAAAACCTTGCCTTTGCATAACTTGCATTCTGGTAGGGGGAGCCAAGCAAAAACCAAAATGAATCAAGTATTTGAATTCTGTATAGCTCCCATATTATAAATGCTATGGAGAAAAATAGAGAGAAGGGTAGCAGAGGTGATTTTTTTTTTTTTTTTTTTTTGACAGGCAGAGTGGACAGTGAGAGAGAGAGACAGAGAGAAAGGTCTTCCTTTGCCGTTGGTTCACCCTCCAATGGCCGCCGTGGCCAGCGCGCTGTGGCCGGCGTACCGCGCTGATCCGATGGCAGGAGCCAGGTGCTTCTCCTGGTCTCCCATGGGGTGCAGGGCCCAAGCACTTGGGCCATCCTCCACTGCACTCCCTGGCCACAGCAGAGAGCTGGCCTGGAAGAGGGGCAACTGGGACAGAATCCGGCGCCCCGACCGGGACTAGAACCCGGTGTGCTGACGCCGCAAGGCAGAGGATTAGCCTAGTGAGCCGCAGCGCCGGCCTGCAGAGGTGATTTTTAATAGCTGTTTTTTTTAGAGACATTATAGGTTCACAGCAAAATTGAGCAGAAAATACAGTTCTCGTGTACCCTCTGCGCCTTCCCCCAGCATGCGCAGCCCCCTCCATTATTGACGTTCCACACCAGGGTAGTACGTTTGTTAAAACTGAGGGGTCTACAGGCTCTCTTGCTTACATTAAGGTTCACTCTTGGTGTTCTGCCTTCTATGGGTTTGGACAAATGTCTAATGTACCTCTTTCCACCATTATAGCATCAAAAAAAAAAAAAAACCCACATTATACTGCCCTGAAATCCCTATGCTCTGCCTGTTCATCTCTTCTCCCCCACACTGTGCACCTCCAACCTCTTGGCAAACACTGATCTTGTTGCATTTGTAATTTTGCCTTTTCTGGGTTTTCATACAGTTAGAATTAGACTATAGTAAGATTTTCACATTGCTTCTTTTGCTTAGTAATATGCATTTAATATTTTCCATGTCTTCTCACCACTTGATAGCTTGTTTCTTATTAGCGCTGAGTAACATGTTCTTGTCTGGATGTACCGCAGTTTATTCTCCTACTAGAGGACATCTCGATTGCCTCCCTGGTTTTCGCAGTTGTGAGTAAAGCTACTGTAAACATCCACATGCAGATTTTTATGTGGACATGAGTTTTCAGCTCTGCTGGGTAAGTACAAAGAAGTGCAGCTGCCAGATGGAATGGTGAGGATATGCTTAGTTTGGTGAGAAACTGCCAAACTGTCTCAGGGTGGCTATACCCTTTTTTGCATTCCTGCTGGCAACGAATGAAAGTTCTTGTTGTCCCACATCCTTATTGACATTTGGTGTTGTCTGTGTTTTGCATTTTGGACATTCTGATAGCTGTGTAGTAATATCTCTTTGTTGTTTTAATTTGTAGTTCCTTAATAATATGTGATAAGGAACATCTTCTCATATATGCATTTGACATCTGTATAACTTATTTGATGAGATACATATTCAGGTCTTTGGCCTATTTGGCCTATTTGGCCTTTAATCCAGTTGTTTGTATTCTGATTGTTAAGTTCTAAGGGTTCTTTTTAAATTTTGGATGAGTACTTTATCAGAAATGTCTTTTGCAAATATTATCTCCCAGATTGTAGTCTTCTCATCCTCTTTATGGTGACTTTCACAAAGCAGAAATTTTTAAAGCCCAGTTTGTTAATTATCTCTTTCATGGATCATTCCCCTGATATTATATCTGAAAAGTCATTGCCATAACCAAGGTCATCTAGGTTTTCTCTTATGTTAGCTTTTAGGATTTTTATAATTTTGCATTTTATAATCAAGCCTGTGATCCATTTTGAGTTAATATTTGTGAAAAGTATAAGGTCTATGTTAATTTTTATGCTTTTTATGGAGACTACTAGTCCTACTATCATTTGTTGAAAAGAAAAAGACTCCTTTTTCCATTTTATGGCCTTTACTCTTTTGTCAAAAATCAGTCGACTATATTTATATGGATCTGTTTTGGGGCTTTCTAGTCTGTTCCATTGATATGTTTGTCTTTTTTCCCCCATACCTCACTCTTTTGCATACTGTAGCTTTATAGTAAGTCTTAAATTGAGTAGTGTCAATTGACTAGTTTGTATTTGTTGTCCATCTATATAAGCTTTATAACCAGTTGTCAATATCTGCAAAATAAGTTGCTAATAAATTGACTAGGATTACATTGACACTGAAGATCAAGTTGGGAAGACTTGATGTCGGCAATTTTGAACTTCTTGCTTTTGAATATATACTATCTCTCAATGTATTTAGTTCTTCAATTTCTTTCATCATATTTTTTAGTTTTCCTCATATTTATATCTTTTTAAAAAAATTTATTTGTTGGGGCCAGCACTGTGGCATAGCAAGTAAAGTCGCCAACTGCAGCACCAGCATCCCATATGGACACCAGTTCAAGTCCCCACTGTTCCACTTCGGATCCAGCTCTCCGCTAATGCTCCTGGGAAAGCAATGGAACATGGCCCAACAGCTTGGGCTTGCACTCACGTGGGAGACCTGGAAGAAACTCCTGGCTCCAGATCAGTGCAACTCTGACTGGCCATTTAGAGAGTAAACCAGTGGATGGAACAGCGCTCTCACTCGCTCGCTCGCTCTCTCTCTTTCTCTTTCTCTCTCTCTGTAACTGCCTATCAAATAAATAACTCCTTATTTATTTATTTATTTGAAAGGGTTTTCAAATAAAGATTTATTTATGTGAAAGGCGGAGTTAGAGATGGGGGGAAGAGGAGAGAGAGAGAGACAGACACAGAGAGAATATCTTCCATACATTAATTCACTCCCAAATGGCTACAACAGCCAGTGCTAGGTCAGGCCAAAACCAGGAGCTTGGAAATCCATCCAGGTCTCCCACATGAATAGTAGGGGCCCAGATACTGTGGCCACCTACTATTGCTTTCCCAGGTACATTAGCAGGGAGCTGGAGCAGTAGTGGAGCAGCCAGGACTTGAACCAGCACTCATATGGGATGTCAGTTTCACAGGCAGTAGCTCAACCTGCTGTGCCACAATGCCAGCCCTCCTCATAAATATCTTTTTACATATTTTAAATTTGTGTGCATATATATACACACACACACAATCATGCACTTCAGAGTGACAATTATAATGGTGGTCTCATAAGATTATTGCTTAGGGATATCATAGTCATCTTAGTTTGTCTAAGTGCACTCTATGATGTAGAAACAATAACAAAATAATCTGACAATGCATTTCTCAGGCTGTTTCCTTGTCTTCAAGTGACTTGACTGTATATAATTTTTGTGGGTGCTACTGTAAATGATACTGTATTTTTAATTTTGCTAGTATTTAGGAAATGGACTGACTTGTATATACTAGCCATGTATCTTGTAACCTTGCTACAATTACCTATTAGTTCTAGGAGGTTTTCTTGTTGTTGATTCTTTCAAATTTTCTATATAGACAGTCATGTCATACATGAGCAAAGATAGTTTTTTTTTTTTAAGATTTATTTATTTGAAAGGCAGAGTTACAGAGAGGCAGAGCAGAAAAAAGATAGAGAGAGGTCTTCCATCCGCTGGTTCACTCCCCAGTTGGCCACAATAGTTGAAGCTGGGCTGATCCGAAGCCAGGAGACAGGAGCTTCTTCCAAGTCTCCTACGCAGGCACAGGGGCCCAAGGACTTGGGCCATTTTCCACTGTCTTCCCATAGCAGTGGCTGGATAGGCCATAGCAGAGAGCTGGATCAGAAAAGTAGTAGGCCGATACCACGGCTCACTAGGCTAATCCTCCGCCTGGGTGCCAGCACTCCGGGTTCTAGTCCCAGTCGAGGCACCGGTTCTGTCCCAGTTGCTCCTCTTCCAGTCTAGCTCTCTACTGTGGCCCAGGAAGGCAGTGGAGGATGATGGCCCAAGTGCTTGGGCGCCTGCACCCACATGGGAGACCAGGAAGAAGCACCTGGCTCCTGGCTTTGGATCGGCACAGCGCGCCAGGCGTAGCAGCCATTTGAGGGGTGAACCAATGGAAGGAAGACCTTTCTCTCTGTCTCTCACTGTCTAACTCTGCCTGTCAAAAAAAAAAGTAGTAGGCGGGACTCGACCTGGCACCCGAATGGAATGCCAGCACTACAGGCAGCAGTTTTACCCACTGTGCTATAGCACTGGCCCTTATTTGTTTCTTAATGTATGTACCGTTTATTTTATTTTCTCCTCTTACTGTGTTAGCTAGGACTTCCATATGTTGAAAACCAGTTGTGCAAGGGCAGATTCTCACCCTGTTCTTAACTCTATCAGGAAAGCTTCTAGTTTTTCATGATTAAGTATAATATTAATTATAGGGTTTTTGGGATTAGCCTTTATCAAGCTGAGGAAATTCTCATCTATTCTTATTTTATCTTTTATTGTGAGTTCTCTTCATAAAAAGATGTTGGAGTTGGTCAAGAGATTTTTTATGTCTACTGGTACAATCACTTTTTTTACTTGTTGATATGATGTTCCCTTTCATTTTCCAGTTTTTTTTTTTAAATCCCTGCTTTTCTGTTTCATGAGTTTCTACTGACATATCCTGAAACTTAGAGCTGCTTTCTTCAGTCATGTCCAGTCTACTAAGAAGTCCATCAAAGACATTCTTCATTTCTGTTAGCCTTTTTGATCTATATTGTTGGGGGATTTCTATTTCTGTTTTCATTGCATGTTGTCTACATTTTCCATTAGAGCCCTTGGCAAAGTAATCATAGTTGTTTTAAATTCATGGTCTGATAAACACAACATCCCTGCCTTATCTGAGTGCTGTTCTGTCTCTTCAGGCTGTTTTTTGCCTTTTAATATGCCTTGTAATTTTTGTTGAAAGCCAGATATTACAAGTATGTGTCAGATCAAAGCAACTCTAGTAAACTGGTGTTAATGATGGGGTGATAAAGTATGTGTGTTTGAGGACGGTGGTCGGGGGAGGAACTATTTTTTGGCTCTGTGATTATGTCTCAGTGTTTTAGTGGCCCATGCCCCAGACTGTGCACTTTGCAAGTGTTTCTCGGTTCCCTGCGTCTCAGGTAGGATAGGCTGGATGAAGAGGGCTGAAATTGGGCATTTTCTTTTCTCCTGTAGGGAAGGTTACAAAGGACTGAAGCTCTGTATTTCCCTTCCCCCACATTGGTTAGGCTCTGGTAAAATATTTTTTCTGGAAGGTAAATCTTGATAAGATTAGAATGCTTTGGTGTATGTATCTCAAATGGTTGTTTTCCCTCTTCCAGAAGCACAAGGGGACTTTCCTAGAATATTCACTGTGACAACCTGGTAGCGCTCGTGGAGGCAGAACTCACAAGTGTGCCCCCTTCCTGGGTCGGACTCTCTACTACAGTTGTTAAGTCTTGGACTTGTCCACATTGGAAGCACCAACAATTTGACAATTACAGTTCAGCTTTTCCTGCCCTGGTGTTGGTTCCCTGGGGCAGTTTCTGCTCCAATTTGTTGTTAATCTCTGTGTCTGCCTATAGGTTTCTCTAATAATGGAGACAGAAGTTTATCTTAGGGTCTTACTTATCTGACAGGCCTAAGAAAGTTGTTGATTTTTCACTTTGTTCTGTTTTTCACATTAGGACAGAATGATAACTTCCAAGTTCCTTACATTCCAAACCAGAAACCCAAGTCCAGAGGTTTAAACTTTAAATATGGTATCTGGGAAAAACTTCATCAAAAAGGTAATATTTGAACAAAGACTTCAAGGAGGTGACAGAGAAAGCCATGCAGTTAATCTGAGACTAAAACATTCCATGTACAGAGAAAAAGGTCTAAAACTCCGTCACAGAAGGTGTATGGTATACTCAAGCCAAAGCAAGCAGTCAGCACAGATAACAAAAAGCGAGAGAAGGGGCAGGAGTAGGGCATAATGTTAAGGAAGTACAGAGCGTCAGATCACATAGAACTTTGTGGTGTGTTTTTTTTATTTTTAATTTTTATTTATTTTTTTATTTGACAGATAGAGTTAGACAGTGAGAGAGAGAGACAGAGAGAAAGGTCTTCCTTCCGTTGGTTCACCCCGCAAATGGCTGCTACGGCCGGAACTATGCCGATCCTAAGCCAGGAGCCAGGTGCTTCTTTCTGGTCTCCCATGTGGGTGTTGTGGTGTGTGTTAATAATAACAGCATGGTATGGTTTATGTTTAACCGGGTAACTCTGGAGACTTAAGAATTAAGGGTAGATCATAAAGGAGCTAAGAGAAGCAGGCATTCTGCACAACACTAATCTAAGGAGAGCTGACGGTATCTTGGACCAGTGTAGGAACAGAGACGGTGGTATAAAGTGGCTAAAATCTAGATACTTCTGGAAGGTGGAATCGAATGATGATAGAATGAATGTGGAATGTAAAATAAGGGAAGAGTCAAGAATGGTTTCTGAGTTTTTGACTGAGCGGTGCCACCACACACTTGATCTTAGCCAAAAGACCGAGAAGTGATGGTGCCACTAAGTAAGATAGGGGAGATTATTGGAGTTATCTGTTTGTCTGATAGAAGTGATGTAAGCAAAAGATGTAGACAGCTCCATCTTAAACAAATTGTATCAAAATCCTACTAAATATCTGGAGATGTGAGTAGGCTGTTGGATATGCTAGGCTACAGTTCAGGGGAAACTACATATATAAATTTGGGAGACAGAATATAGAATATTTAAAACCACAAGACTAGATGGGATCACGGAAGGAATGGGTGGACTAAACCATAACCCCAGGGAACCCCAACACTTAAGTGCCTGTGAGATGATAGGGAAGCACACGTGGAGCCTGGGCCTGAGCCGTCGGAGGTGGGAAGACCGCCAGAAGAGTGTGGCGTCATGCAGTCCACAGGAAGGACCTGTCTCAAGGAGTGCTTTGATCATGCCTAACCAATGATTGGTAAAAGAAAATGAAATTCGGCCAAGTAAAGGTTTTTACGCATCTGTATAAAAACAGTTTTCAATGGAGTGGTATGGCCAATATCTTGATTAGTGTGATTTAAAAAGGGAATAAAGAAATTGGAAATAGCAGATATAGATGATTTTTAGCAGATGTATTTATTTATTTGAAAGACAGAGTTACAGAGAGGGAGAGACAGAGAGGAGGTCTTCCATCATGATTGGTTCACTCCCCAGATGGCCACAACGGCTGGAGCTTTGCCGATATGAAGCCAGGAGCTAGGAGCTTCTTCTGGGTCTCTCACACAGGTGCAGGGGCCCAAGGACTTTGCCCATCTTCCACTGCTTTCCCAGATCATAGCAGAGACTGGACTGGAAGTGGAGCAGCTGGGACTCAAAGTGGCACCCATATAGGATGTCAGCACTGCAGGTGGCAGCTTTACTCGCTAAGCCACAGTGCCGCCACCTAGATGATTTTTTCAAACAGTTTAGCTATGAAGAAGAGTGCCATGCCACAGTAACTAGAAGGGAATGAAACCCAGTGCACAAATTGGGGAGTTGGCTTTCTTTTCTTGAGCACAGACAGTCTTTAATAGAAAATTGTGTACATTTCCAATTATTTCTGTTATCTCTGGAAAAAGATTATCGTGAGGTTCAAGTTAAAAGAAGAGGTCCTAGCAGTTTGTGCTCCAAAATACAGAGTATTCAGAGGAACAAAGGAAGCAAGTTTTGTTTTCTGGGACATAGAAAAGAGTAAAATATGACAAAATTCTCCACCATTTATGGGAAAAGTGACAGAAAAGAAAATGCAGAAAGGAAAAGGAAGGGGAAGGGGGTAGGAAATGAAGAGGAGAATGAAAGAGAAAACTCAGGGAGCCAGAAGAAAAAAACTAAGTGGTGATTTTATTAACTATTTTCTCTTAGAAGTAATCATCATAAAAAAAACAGGGATCAAATTAATATGCAAATGGATTTTAAATATAATTTGTAATTTATTTCGAAGGTGAACCTTCTCATATACCATTACATATCCTCATAAAACTAATTTCAAATGGTTGCTTTAAGTTCAATGGGATGGATATAAAATAAGTTTGAAAATCAACCTCCAATTGTTGGCTATTTTACTAGTTTATTTTTCCTCTTGTAACAGTATAAATATGTGGATTTGAGCTGTGCACAAAGTTTGACACAGTATAAATGCTTAGTAAAATATTTGCTGAATGGCTGCATGTAAAAATGAAGGAGTGAATGACTCCACGGGGATACATCAAGGTGAAATTCCTGAGATGGGACTGATGGAGCAGAGGCTAAGTCACATGTGAAATTATTTGCACCTGTACCTCCAACAGATTTCACAATACAGCTTATGCAACTGCTTGCATCTCTTTCCAGTTGGCCAAAGAGTATGGTCCTGTTTACACCCTGTACCTTGGACCCTGGCCTGCTGTGGTCTTGCATGGCTATGACGCGGTGAAGGAAGCTCTGATCAACCAGGGTGATGAATTTCAGGACAGAGGACGTTTTCCTATTATTGATGATACCCTGAAAGGATACGGTATGTTTCAAATAAAAATACAGGTTAATTAACACCTGAATATTTGGGAGAAAACCTGATAAATTGTGAAAAAAAAAAAAATCCTTTCTATAGTAAGTAGCTGACTAGATGCTACAATACTACAATGCAGTCTGGCACAAACTACCCAGAGTTGCCAGGTTAAGGGCACAGTCTCCAGTAAGACTGCCCTCACTTCTGATGCCAGCTCCCAGTTCAAGGGTCCCCATGTCACCCACTCTTCTGACCAGCAGACTGAAAACTCAGGGGTTCCCGTGTCTCCCTCAGGTTCAGTAATCTGTAGGATAACTCACAGAACTCAGTGAGGTGTGTGCTCACCATCACAGTTTTATTACATTAAGGATAGAAATGCAGAGAGACACAGAGCAAGGTCTGAGAGGGTTCCGAAGCAGAGTTCTGTATCCTGTTGCTGAGAATTATGATGCGTTACCCTCTTCGCACATCCACATGGTCACCAGCCAGGAAGCTTACCTGAGCCTTGGTGTCCCAGGTTTCTGCAGAAATTTCTTTCCATGTGCGAAATTGCCCATGTGATTGAACTCAGTTTCCACCCCCTCTCCACCCCAGCTCAGAAGCTCAGGCTTATAGCACCTGGCTCAACCCTCTAAACAAACTCTCTAGGGGCTCCTCATTTCGTTGACATGCATGCAAATGTGTTCCAGGGATCTACCAGGAATACCTGAGCAATTCTAAGGGCTTAGAATCTCCCACAGGCTAGGGTCAAAGATCAGACAAACTCTGATTACATAACAGACACTCTGAAAGCTCTGCTGAGATGAACATCAAAACCAGACTCCAAATTCCCTGTAAGTTAATTCTGTAAATATCATTGAGATAAAAACAATGTGAGAACCTTTTGAAATAAAAATCAATAGCGAGGGGTTTAGGGAGATGGAAAAGTCAGGCTTTGGGATGTAGTTTCACACTTTGGGGTGTGGTACAAAGGATATGGTGGTACAGTGGCAACTACCACAAACAAATAACCAGATATAGAAACTACAGCCTAGTTTGTGGAGGATGGAAGGAGATGGAGGGTAAGATCCAGGAGGTACTGCACAGGGAGCTGGGAAGACACTTGGAAGTTAGATATGTGTTACATATATTCCTTTATATGTATAAATATATCATAAAAATTTTAGGATAGCCTGAAAGTCTCCCCTAAACCACTGAAAATTACAAAACTAAATCTTTTCAAAGCATATTAATGAATCACTAAATATAACATAACATACCAAGTGCAACAAGAGAAGTGATTTTTGATCTCTCTCACCTAAGGTCAAAATATATATTTGTTCAACTAAAGAAACAAGCCTGCCTTCTACTAACTATTTTTTTGCTAAACAAGTTGGTTACATTAGCTGTGTGTGTGTGTTTCAATTAATTTTTATAAAGATTTTATTTATTTGAAAGAGTTACAGAGAGAGGACACACACATATACACACACACACACACACACACACACACAGAAAGAGAGCGAGAAATCTTCCATCTGCTAGTTCACTCCCCAAATGGCCACAGCAGCCCAAGGCTAGGCCAGGCCAAAACCAGGAGCCAGGAGCTTCATCTGAGTCTCCCATGTGGGTGGCAGGCACCCAAGGACTTAGGCCATCATCTGCTGCTTTCTGAGGCCATTAGCAGGGAGCTGGATTGGAAGTGGAGCAGCCAGGACTTGAATCAGTGCCCATGTGGGATGTCATTATCACAGGTGGTGACTTTACCCACTACACCACAACATTGGCCTCAATGTCAACTCATTTTTAAGTGGAGATGAGACTGCTGGGCTGCATGGAGCTATCAGAGAAGTAACTGACATAAAGCTTAATAGTTTTTGCAACTGTGAGAAAATCGGTTTAAAAGCTTCCTATGAAATTCTTTTTATACATAGTCTTATTTTTTTAAAGATTTTTTTTTGCTTGAAAGGCAGAGTTAGAGAGGGAGAAACAGAGAGAGAAAAATTGATCTTCCATCTGCTGGTTCACTCCCTGAATGGCTGCAATGGCCTGGTCTGGGCCAGGCCAAAGCCAGGAACCAGGAGCTTCATCTGGGTCTCCCACGTGGATTGCAGGGCCCCAACTACTTAGGCCATCTGCTACTTTCCTGGTCGCATTAGCAGGGAGCTGAATTGGAAGTGGAGCAGCCAGGACTCACTGGCTCTCATGTGGGATGCTGTTTTTGTAGGCAGTGGCTTAAACGGCTGCACCACAACACCAGCCCCCACTATGAAATTCTTGTTAACTGCTCTTATTTCCATGTAATAGGAACCAATAATTTGCTGTTTCTTCCCCTAATTTTCCTATTCTGGAAAGTAACAGAAAAGAACCACTCAATATTTTAGTTTTCTTTTTGTATTAGTTTCTTAGGGCTGCCATAACAAAAATTTGGGGAGGCTTTAGGACAACAGAAATTTGGTGACTTTTTCTCATGATTTGGGAGGTTTTGTTTTTAATGCTTATGAGCTCTGTGGGTAAGGAATTTGAACAAGACACAGTGCAAATGGCTTTTCTCTCATCCACAAGGCTTGGGGCCTGGACACACACCCATTTTTTTTACAGATTGAACAGCTGCCAGTCATTGAAATGGCTGAGAGCTGAAATCCTGTGGAGGCTTCTTCACTTAGGAATCTGGCTTCTGGGGGCGGGGGGGGGGGTGACCCAAGGCCAGGGGCAGCAACAAGAGACTCTCCATGTGGCTTGGGCCTCTCACGGCTTGGTTCTTGGAATCCAGAGGGAGCTTCGTGGGGGCCCGAGGCAGAAGCTGCATAGCAACTTCAGACCAGGTGTCCACACATAGGGCCACACTCTCACCACTGTGAGCAGTTGCCAACAACCAGCCCAAGTCCCCAGGGGAGGTAACAGCTTTCCCTTTGGATGGGGAAACGGTCACACGGTGGAAGAACGTGAAGGATAGGAGATCTTGTCAGCAAGCGCATTTGGGGAGTGAACCCATGGATGGAAGCCTCCGTCTCTCATCCACCGGGAAGTGTGACATGACACAGCCACAGCTACTGTTTCCTGAGCTAACGCCTTGCTTTTCAACCTCCAAAACTGTGAGCTAAGTCACCTTCTTTTCTTTAGAAAGTAGTGAGCTTCCAGTCTTTTGTTAAGCCCCAGAAAACAGACTAATCCAATGCCCTTCCTCTGGACCCACTACTCTAAAAAAGCCCAGAGAAAAAGCAGCAGCGAAATAGAGCTGTTAGAGCTGCAGAAGACCACCTCTCTCTAGGAAGATGTGTGCAGGGAAAACCCAGAGCCAGCTGGAGAGATAATAGCAAGGTCTCCTTACAGGAAACTGAGGTATTGCACTGAGGGTAACCACAGTAGCAAATTTCGAACCCAGACTGGCTATGGGCTGGGTTAACTAAACCCCCAAACCAAAGGTACAACAGAAGGAGACACTCTTCTCAAGTGTAAGTGGAAATTCACAAGGGCAGACCATATTCTGGGTCATAAAAAACCTTAACAGGTAGTAGGCGTGAACTTGGCAGTTAAAAAGCCTGTGTGCCATGTTGGAGTCCGTTGATTCAGTTCCTGACTCCAGCCCCTGACGGTGCAGATCCTGGTAGGCAGCAATGATGGCTCAAGTAACTGGGTTCCTCCCACATGGGAGATTGGATGGCGTTGTCATCTCCCAGCTTCAGCCCTGGCCTAGCCCTGCTGTTGCAGGCAAGTGGACAGGATGCCTCTCTCACCCTTCCTTCCTTCCTCCGTCCCTCCCTCCCTCCCTCCCTCAGTTTCCTCTCCCTCTCCCTCTTTCTGTCTCCCACCCCCTCCTACTTCTTTTCTCCTCCTCCCTCTCCTTCCCACCCTGTTGAAAAAAAAGTCTTAACAAATTGTAAAGAGTAGAATTCCTGTAAACTAAATTATCAGATTATAGTACAACAAAAATTGAAATAAATGAAAGCTGACAGGAAAATCATCTGATATTTAGAAGTAAAAAATACTCTTTTAAGTAACTGGATTTAAAAAGAGGTCTTGTGGAAATTAAAATATTAAATGAAAATTCTCTAATATATGATAATATAGCATTATATTCATATACTTAAAAAGAATGATTTAAAATAATAACCTAACCTTCCTCCTAAGAGACTAGAGAAAGAAAAGCAAATTAAACCTAAAACAAGTAGAAGCAAGAAATTAAGAATAGAAGTCAATGAAACTGAAACAGTAAAAACAGAAAAATCCTAAAACTGAAGACTGGTCCTTTGACAAGATCAGTAAAATTGATAAACCTCTAGGAAAGCTGAAGAGAGATAGGAGATGAGGAAGGGAAAGACAGAAAGAAAACTCAAATTATTAATATCAGAAATGAAAGCAGAAATACCACTGTTGACCCTGCAAACATTAGAAGAATAATATAGAAATATTACCAACAACTCTATGTCCATAAATTCAATAGCTAAGATGAAATTAACCAAACCAGTGGTGTAGCCATTGCTAGGGTTTCTTCGTGTGGTTGGTTGGGCAGGTATTTCTTTTATATGAACATGTATGAAAATTCACTGCATAAAGATGATGGTCATCAGCTGTTCAAAACCTGGATTTTATGAACACATTAGATCCCCCCCAAAGCACCTGAATTTGAGGATAGAGTAATAGCAGGTAAATCCAACTTTCCTCCGAAATGGATCTCGCCCCTGCTGCCTGGCCACACCCCCTCAGTTACTGTCCTGTGTTTCTCTCGCTTCTGTAAAGGGACAGTGCCGATGACTGAATCACTGCTTTTAGGAACCTAACTTGAGGAATTATCAAAGATGTGATGTATAAGTTATGAACAAGAATGTTCACAGTGGTAATATTTTTAGAATCCTACTTGATGTATAGAAGGAGATCACTTAATATTTATTAAGTAGAATGAACAGCAAAAACCTGGATATATATCCAAATACCTACTTTGAAGATTAAGTAATTTGACCAAATGTATACTTGCTTTTTGATTTAAAAGTGATGGAAAGACAGCATTAAAAATTTTTGAGAAGATAGAATACTTCTAAAATCATAGATAAAAATAGCAGTTATAAAAGCTAACATTTGTGAATACTTTTTATGTGCTGAATACTCTGCTAAGTATTTTACAAATATTATGATATTTATTCAACACCATGATCACATGCAGAAAATACTATTTTTGGGTTTCCATTCTTCAGATGAAGTTGTTGGCACAGAGAAGTTAATAACTTGCCAAAACTAGAAAATGTGGAGCAGAGATTTTCATGGAGTGTGCTTAGTTCTAGAGCCCCTGACTACTAAGCACACTGCCCCAACTCACTTTTGTTCTGTGCTCTCAGATGTTGCCTATACATGTGCACATTTTAACAGTTGTGATTATATGATTCAGAAATGTTTGTATACTGCTGTCTTCTAAAATGTTAACATGTCTGGTAGTTTCACATAGTTTTCTTTTTTTTTTTTTAAGATTTATTTTATTTGAAAGAGTTATAGAGAAAGGTGGGGGGCGGGGGTCTTCCATCTACTGGTTCTCTCCCCAAATAGCTGAGAGGGCTGGAGCTGAGCCAATCTAAAGCTAGGAACCAGGAGATTTTTCAATGTCTCCCACATGGGTATAGGGGCCCAAGAACATGAGCCATTCTCTGCTGCTTTCTCAAGCACTTTAGCAGGGAGCTGGATCAGAACTGGAGCAGCTGGGACTTGAACCAGCGCCCTTATGGGATGCCAGCACTGCAGGCCAGGGCTTTAACCCACTGTACCACAGTGCCGGCCCCTCCACATAGTTCACATAGTTTTCTTTATTTATTTATTTATTTTTTTTTTTTTTTGACAGGCAGAGTGGACAGTGAGAGAGACAGAGAGAAAGGTCTTCTTTTGCCATTGGTTCACCCTCCAATGGCCGGCGCACCGCACTGATCCGAAGCCAGGAGCCAGGTGCTTCTGCTGGTCTCCCATGTGGGTGCAGGGCCCAAGCACTTGGGCCGCCATCCACTGTACTCCCTGGCCACAGCAGAGAGCTGGCCTGGAAGAGGGGCAACTGGGACAGAATCCGGCGCCCCAACTGGGACTAGAACCCAGTGTGCTGGCGCCGCAAGGCAGAGGATTAGCCTAGTGAGCCGCGGCGCTGGCCCACATAGTTTTCATAATCATCATTTTTACAGTTGCTTACTTTACCCTAAGACTGGTTAACTAAGATTGTGTAAACTCCTATCCTATTATTAGGATTGAGATTGTTTGCAAATTCCTTAATATAAATTGTAGTATACATCTTATGTTGAATTCTTTGTATAATTTTTTCAGAGAGTAATTAATAGATCAAACAGTTTTTAATAGTTTTTGCTGTATTGCATTAATTTCCAAAGTATGTTGTAATGTGCAAAGGGGCCAAATAAATGTGCCACCTTTGCCACAAGCTTGATTGCTCTATAGTTTTTTTTTTTTTTTTTTTTTTTGACAGGTAGAGTGGACAGTGAGAGAGAGAGAGACAGAGAGAAAGGTCTTCCTTTTCCCGTTGGCTCACCCTCCAGTGGCCTCCGTGGCCAGCGCGCTGCGGCCAGCTCATCACGCTGATCCGATGGCAGGAGCCAGGTACTTATCCTGGTCTCCCATGGGGTGCAGGGCCCAAGCACTTGGGCCATCCTCCACTGCACTCCCAGGCCACAGCAAAGAGCTGGCCTGGAAGAGGGGCAACCGGGACAGAATCCGGTGCCCTGACTGGGACTAGAACCCAGTGTACCGGCGCCGCTAGGTGGAGGATTAGCCTATTGAGCCGCGGCGCCGGCCGCCCTGTAATTGTTTAAATGCTGGCTAATTTGATGGATGTGAAATGAATATTTAAATGATTATCAGTGTGGTCCTTGTAATTTGATTTTGAGTAATCTGGCAGCTGAAGATTCAGAGGAGTGAGAGAGGAAACTAGTTTGAAGATGGTTATAACTTTTTAGATTCCTAAAAATGTCATTACCTGAAGTATGGCGGCATGACATGGGTTGGCAAGATGAGAAAGACGGTATAAAGAAGGAATCAACAGGGTTTCACAAATGTAGGGAAAGATCAGGAAGGACGCGATGTGAAGATGCACCCGGGATCTGGATTTTGGAGCACTAGAAACTGATGGTACATTAAGAAAAATAGGAGACTCATGATCGGTAACTGGCTTTGTCCAGAGGAAGAAATAAGAAACCATTGGTGCAGAACATATGCATTCCTTTGCTTCTTTGTGTTCAGATTAGAATAACATTAGCTATAGTAAATTTTGAGGAGAATAGAAACGTAAATCCTGTATTGGTGTGCTTTGTAGTTTCTTACCCTGTAATTGAGAAAATCACATGTAGAACTAAAGCACAAGGTAAAGATTAAGGGTAAAACCAGAAACCCAAGAAATAGGTTTGTGAGAACATGTATGTATGTATGTATGTATTTTTAACAAAACCAGATGGAGAACCCTTCCACACCTGGGAGTATTCTCCACCTGTCTGTGGCTCCCTTGGTCCAGTTCCACCCTTTCTGTCTCTTGCTGATCAGAGCTTGGCTTTGATTTTCTCTACGTGACATACCTTTCAGCTGAACTCCAGAGCACGTGTGTACGTTGCCAGCTCTCAGTCCCTGATGGGAGGCAGTAGAAACCTGGTGAAGGCAGACACAGGCTAACAGCTTTAGGGAAGGTTGCTCTGTGATGCCCACACGCACCTGCTCTTCCTAGGAATCATTTTCAGTCACGGAGAGAGGTGGAAGCACATGCGTCGCTTCACCCTGACGACCCTGAGGAACTTTGGCATGGGGAAGAGGAGCATCGAGGAGAGGGTCCAGGAGGAAGCCCGCTGCCTGGTGGAGGCGTTCAGGAAAACGGAAGGTGAATCACTGGCCATGCCCCTGGGGGGCCTGGGACGTCCTCCACACGCCTCCCGTGGGAGTCACTTTGTGGCCCGAGATCTGCGCTCTCCTCGGGGAGTACGCTTAGGGTAAAGCCAAGGGAGGGAAACAACTCCAGAGCTATGAGGTCCCCTTCTGAAGGCTTGAATTTTCTAAGATGCATTTTTTCCTTATTGTGAAAATGAGGCCAAAAACCAAGCCTCAGAATAGAGAGTAACAAAACATTTACATAGGATCCAACATATAATAATTGCTTATAATATTACTTGTTGCTATTACTACTATTATAGTAGTCATATAATAACAATATGTATTATCAGTACAATATAATACTACATGGCGAATAGGGTCATATGCTATAATAATACTAACATATAAATTGTAATTAGTAGCATTACAAGATGCTTATATCCCAATTTGGGGAATTTTGGAGGAACATAAAGTGTGTGTATAAATCTGACGGGAGGGGCCGGCGCCGCAGCTCAATAGGCTAATCCTCCGCCTGTGGCGCCGGCACACCGGGTTCTAGTCCCAGTCAGGGTGCCAGATTCTGTCCTGGTTGCCCCTCTTCCAGTCCAGCTCTCTGCTGTGGCCCAGGAGTGCAGTGGAGGATGGCCCAAGTGCTTGGGCCCTGCACCCCATGAGAGACCAGGAGAAGCACCTGGCTCCTGGCTTCAGATCAGCGTGGTGCAGCAGCATGCCGGCCGCAGCAGCCATTGTGGGGTGAACCAACAGAAAAGGAGGACCTTTCTCTCTCTCTCTCACTGTCCACTCTGCCTGTCCAAAAAAAAAAAAAAACTGACGGGAGGGCAGCCCAGTTCTTGAAATCCTAACGCAGGATGGTTAAGAGTCTCGGTGTCAGAACTCTCTTTCCCCGTCAGCTCAGCCCTTCGACCCCACCTTCATCCTCTCTTGCGCTCCCTGCAACGTGATCTGCTCCATCCTCTTCAGTGAGCGTTTCCAGTATGAGGACAAGACGTTCCTCTTCCTCATGGAGTTGTTACAGGAAAATTTTAAACAAATAAACTCCCGATGGTGCCAGGTAAACCCACGGTTGGATCTGTGTTTGTGGTGGTTCTCCTTGGCCCGCGGGTAGCCTGTAGGCAAAGTCAAGGGCTCCTCCCCTCCATGTGGGTTGAATGAACCAAAACAAAGCCACTTAGCCCAGCATCTACGGAAGCTTGGCCTCAGCTTGCCCCTGTGGGTTTCCCATGCAAAAGAAGACAGAGCGTCCCGGTGGCTTACGTTCCCTGCCGGGCCCCTCCATGACTGTGGGTGGGTTTGACCGAAGGTGGGAAGAGAAGGAGACGGGAAGGGGCTGCTCTTCTCTTTGGGACGCTCACTCCCTCTCTCTCCTGCTTGGGCGCTGTGCTTGTAAACTCTGCTGTCTCCTGCACAGGCTGCAGCGCTGCCGTGTTTGTTTGCTTCCATTTTCAGATTTATAATCTCTGGCCAGCACTCATGAGGTATTTCCCTGGAAAACACAAAGAATTCTCAGAAAGAATTAATGACATTAAATACTTCATTCTGGAAAAAATAAAGGAACATCAAGAATCCTTGGATCAGAATAACCCTCGGGATTATATTGACTGTTTCCTCAGCAGAATGGAGCAGGTACTGTGGTGACTTTCCCTGGTGCTGTTTTTTTGCTCCACGGAAATACATGAGTACATAATCACACCATGTATGTAAGTCTTTTTTTTTTTTAAAGATTTATTTATTTATTTGAAAGTCAAAGTTACACAGAGAGGAGAGGCAGAGAGAAAGAGAGAGAAAGATAGGTCTTCCATCCGATAGATGGTTCACTCGCCAGATGGCTGCAATGGCCGGAGCTGTGCCGATCCAAAGCCAGGAGCCAGGAGCTTCTTCCAGGTCTCCCACATAGGTGCAGGGGCTCAAGGACTTGGACCATCTTCTACTGCTTTCCCGGGCCACAGCAGAGAGCTGGACAGGAATTGGAGCAGCCGGGTCTTAAACCAGCACTCACATGGGATGCCGGCGCTTCAGGCCAGGGCGTTAACCCACTGTGCCACAGCTTCCGCCCGTATGTGTCTTGATATTTGCATGGCTTGAGACAATGGAGCACTCTGTTATCATTAATAAGGGAAATTTTTAAATCATTCAAAAGGCCCTCTTTTTGCTCTATGACCTCCTGCACTTAGACATGAGGATTTAAATGTTCTCAATAAATATTTAAAATGAGTTATGTAACGTGTACTTATATAGATAGTTCTAAACACATATGTATCTTGGGATGGACAAAACATTATTTTCTCTACAGATCATTTACACTTACAAAGTCAGACATTTTTGCCACAGTGCCTTTCCTGATAACATGTCATAGACCAACACATTATAAAAACTGACTGTGGAGTGGGCATCAGCATACTGGTTAAAATGCTGCTTAGGACACCTGCATCCCATGTGAGACTGCCTGGGTTCAGGTCCCAGCCCCGCTCTCCATTCCAGCTGCCTGCTGATGCTCACCCTAGGAGGCAGCAGTTCACGCCTCAAGTATCTGCCACCCAGCTGGGAGACCTTGATTGGATTCTGGCTTCCTGGCTTCTGTCCAGCCCCACCCCAGCTGTTATGGGCATTTAGAGCAATGAACCAGCAGGTGGCAGATCTGTATGTGTGTATTCGTGTGTGTGTGGGGGGGGGGGGGGTCTGCCTTTTAATTAATAAATTATTTTTTAAAAAAGAGTGGAAGCTATTCTTTAAAGAAGCTGTATTTTGACATAGGAACAATTTTGCTTTTTAAAATTGGCGCTAGATGGCTGGTGCCACAGCTCAATAGGCTAATCCTCCTCCTGCGGTGCCGGCACACCCGGTTCTAGTCCTGGTCAGGGCGCCGGATTCTATCCCGGTTGCCCCTCTTCCAGGCCAGCTCTCTGCTGTAGCCCGGGAGTGCAGTGGAGGATGGCCCAAGTGCTTGATCCCTGCACCCCATGGGAGACCAGGATAAGTACCTGGCTCCTGCCTTCGGATCGGCACGGTATGCCGGCCGCAGCGCGCCGGCCGTGGCGGTCATTGGAGGGTGAACCAACGGCAAAAGGAAGACCTTTCTCTCTCTCTCTCTCACTGTCTACTCTGCCTCTCAAAAAAAAGATTGGCGCTAGATGAAGGATCCTAAAGCAAATACAGTATGCATTGACTGTAGGTTTTATTAAATACACTAAACAAGTGTGGCATAGCCACCCATCCTCAGAATGCCACTGAACACAAGCAGCAGCATGATGAGAAAAGCATATTTAAATGAATAAAGACATGTAACAATTCAAAATCTGAAAAATATTCTTAAAGCCCTGTAAAATTAACACTATTTATATAGCAGTCTCCCAAATATATACGAATGAAAGAAAAATGTCACTCAGCTATCACATAAATACGCAAACATTTGATAAATGATAACCTATGTGGTCTCCTTACATTCTGGAAGGGCTGATTTGGATAGCTTAGCCTGATTTTCTTAGAAAACATGTCTAAGGAAAGAGAGACATTTAGATGCATTCTGCTTTCCAAGGAGGTATACTGAGACACTATTCATTCTGGTCTATACTGAGACCAGATGTTTTTCAGGGTGGGAGAAACATAGCGAGGCTATTACTCCAATCATTTAAAAGTGTTTGTTTAGGGCCTGACACTGTGGAGTGAGTTAAATCTGCACTGGCAGCCATATCAGAGCGCCAGTTGAGCTCCAGGTACTCTGCTTCTGATCCAGCTCCCTGCTAATGTGCCTGGGAAAGCAGAGATGAGCCAAGTAAAAGGGCCCCTGTCACTCACACGTAGGCCCAGATAGAGCTTCTGGCTTCTGACTTTAGCCTGGCCCAGCCTAGAACATTGCAGCCATTTAGGGAGTGAAGCAGTGGATGCAAAATTTCAATATCTCTCTGTCTCTCTCTCTCTCTCTCCTCTCTCTCTCTGTCACTCTGCCTTTCAAAAGGCAGAAAGGCAGAGTGACAGAGAAGGAGAGACAGAGAATCTTCCATCCGCTGGTTCACTCCCCAAATGGCCGCCAACAGGAATGGCCACGGCTAGGCCAGGCTGAAGCCATGAGCCAGGAGCGTCTACTGGGTCTGCCACATGGGTGCAGGGGCCCAAGCACTTAGGCCATCCTCCACTGCCTTCCCAGGCACATTAGCAGGGAGCTGGATCAGAAGTGGAGCCACCAGGACTCGAACCAGCACCCATAAGGATGCCGGTATTGCAGACAGCAGCTTAACCCTCTGAGCCACAGCGCCAGCCCAAATATTTAAAAAAAAAAAAATTGAAGATAATGGTAGACTACCTACTACTTAAATCATAGAACATAAATGAAAAATATTTTTACATTTTCTCAAATATTTTCATCATCAAAGATTTTTACAATCAGGCTTTTTGTTATGAGGGAATTATTTAAATGCTTAATATTCTTGACTCCAGATAAAGGAAGTAAGGACTCTAGAGGTAGGAAATAAAAATGTGCAAAAAAATTTGGACTTCTCACCTAATTTTATTTTTTCTTTCAAATTAATATAGAATTATCATATTAGAAGTCATTCCATTTTGAAGTGAACAGAAAGAATGAAACAAAGCTAGAAAAGAAAAACTTGATTCAGGGCTTAAAAAATGAGGTTAATTTTTTTTAAAGATTTATTTGAAAAACAGAGTTTACAGAAAGAGGAGAGCAAGAGAGAGAGAGATTCTTCATCTGCTGGTTCATTCCCCAAATGGCTGTAATGACCAGGACTGTGTCAGGCCGAAGCCAGGAGCCGGTAACTCCATCCAGATCTTCTGTGTGGGTGCAGGGACCCAAGCACTGGGATGATCTTCCGCTGCTTTCCCAGGCACATCAGCAGGGAGCATGATAAGTGGAGCGGCCAGGATTCCAACTGATACTCATATGGAATGCCAATGCCACAGGTGGTGGCTTAACCCACTGTACCACAACGCCAGCCACTGAAGTTAATTTTTAAGACAAGTACTTTAAATACTTTCCTCAAGTTTAAAAGCTTACCAAAAGAGTCAGCAATGGAATTTTAGTACTGTTAAATTTGGAAAATTGTTATTAGCTTAATTAGTTTCATATCATTAAACATTCAATTATCCAACAAATTCTAGATGCCAATTTTTGTTCTGGGACTAGGGGTGGGTGGGGTTGGGGAATACAACAAAGACTTACTTTCATTTTTCTTTTTAGTAAAGTAATTTTAAAATAAAAATCTTACAACTTTTAGGCCCTGGATAAACATTTATGTTCTAAATGTTTGTTAGATCCCATGTAAAAATTAGGATGCAGGCCGGCGCCGCGGCTCACTAGGCTAATCCTCCGCCTAGTGGCGCCGGCACACCGGGTTCTAGTCCCGGTTGGGGCGCCAGATTCTGTCCCGGTTGCCCCACTTCCAGGCCAGCTCTCTGCTGTGGCCAGGGAGTGCAGTGGAGGATGGTCCAGGTCCTTGGGCCCTGCACCCCATGGGAGACCAGGAAAAGCACCTGGCTCCTGGCTCCTGCCATTGGATCAGCGCGGTGCGCCGGTGCGCAGCGGCCATTGGAGGGTGAACCAATGGCAAAGGAAGACCTTTCTCTCTGTCTCTCTCTCTCACTGTCCACTCTGCCTGTCAAAAAAATAAATAAATAAATAAATAAAAAATTAGGATGCAAAGTGTCCCACTTAGAAATTCAGTCTTACTATTAGAAATGCTATTAGTAATAGTGCATATTGTATGAGAACAGGTGGAGCTGGGCGTGTACAAGTCTGTGTAAGTGAAGGGAACAGACCGTGAACCAATGATCTATTCTAGTCTTTTTCATTAAATATAACTAGAACATACCATTCATTGAGTATTTGTGGGCGTGAAGCATTGTTCCAAGAGTATCCATTAACTGTTTTGTTGTAATAGCCTCATAGGATATGTTCTATTTCTTAGTCCCAGTTTCACAGGTGATGAAACTGAGTAAGAAAATCAAGTCACCTACCAGGGACACACATCTGTGCATTGGCTACCCTGGAATGTGAACCCAGAAATTTGGTTCTATGTCTTTTTTTTTTTTATCCCCTACACTACAGTATACAAAATGAATCTGATTAATAGTGAGGGGGTGTGATGGAATTCTGATAAGTCGTTGTCTTCTCTTCCCCTCATGAGCCATTAATTCTATCCTTTGTAGGAGAAACATAACCCAGGGACTGAATTTGACTTGGAGAACTTAGTAGTCTGTGGATCTAATCTGTTTACAGCGGGAACAGAAACAACCAGTACCACCCTGAGATTTGGGCTCTTGCTCCTCATGAAATACCCAGAAGTGCAAGGTACAGTAAATATCCTGGTGACCAAATGAAAGAATAGCTCGTGGCCCGGAGGAGGGTGGGGTTTGTGCTGCTGCTTCTGGATTGCTTTGCTTTCTCTGGGCTGCCTGCAGAAACCATTGTGCAGAGGACCCTTCATTGTGGTTTTAGTTTTATAGATCAGAATTATGTTTGATGATGCTGATTCGGAAAAGAGACATTTACGATCACAAAGACCTTCATCTGTGTTTAAAAACAGATAGGAGATTCTGCATGCCAAATCTCATATATGAAATATATTGCCAAAAACTAGGCCTTTATTGGATGAGGGGCATGTGGCTCGCTGCTGGATTCTCTTCTGGGCCTGCCAGTTCCTGACTGTGTGGCCTGAAACAAGTGCTTTTCATCTTTCAGACTTCTGTTTTTCCTCTTTGAAAGGGGACCAAACTCCCAAAGGGAACTTTTAGTTTCAATATAATTTTGAATTAAAATTTAAAAATTGAATTGTAGCAGCTGAGTAATCTTAAATACAGGCCACAGGAAGCCAGCGTTCCTATAGCACAATAAGGTGATGCTTGCCACACCCACCAGACGTGTAGGAGGATGAGTGAAGCTGCCAAGAGTCTCCCACGAGAGTGGGGATTAAATATTTGCCCAACACAGTTGTGGTATTGTGAAGTATATATTTGGTCTTTGTCTCCTTTTTCTGGTCTACAGCTCCTGAAATCCTTGGATTCTTCAAAGGAGTGTCTTTTCGTGTGCCAGTCAGTTGGCTGATGGCTGGCAGCTCTTAGGTAGCTTCAGAATAGGGACCGATCACTGAAAAGATCCAGACAGGATTAGATCCCCACCCTCATCCTCCAGGGAAGGGGGAGGGGTGTGTTAAGGTCTTAGGGTTGGAAGAAAGCGAGGAGGCCACTAGTTAAAATGGAAAAGATTTTATTTAGGGGGCATCGTGGGAGGAGGTGGTGGTAAAGAGTCAGGGTTTACGGCCAGGCTTGTTCTGTTTGAGCAGCAGACAGAGTCCCTTCTTAAGCAGCCTGCTGGGGGGAGGTGCAGAGCGCAGCATGGCCGCTGATATGGTGGGGGTGGTGGGTGTGTGGAAAGGCTCCTCAGTGAGGTTTGCACTGTATCGGCTTTGTAGTTTGCTGCCCCAGGTACAATAAGCATTCCTCTGGCTTTGGATTGTCTGTCTGCGCCCTGTTTCATTGGTCCTGGGGGTTAGGGTCCAGTGACCTGATGGGTTCTATCAGGCTCAGTGGTCTAAAAGATTCTAATAGAGTTGAAGGGTGAGTTGATCACCAGTGGCCAAGGATTTAATGGATCCTGCCTGTGTAGTGAAGGTTCCACGAAATCCGCAAAGGATAAGGAAGTGTTTGGAGAGCTCCCGGCCAGGGGAACTCATGGAGGTGCTTTCGAAGTGACAGCAGGCGTGTGGGCTCTAGAGGTGGTGCATTCCCCAGACCTTGGCCCGGGGTCTCTTCATCTGTATCCTTTGTAACGTCCTGATGATGAACTTATAAATTGTTTTCCTGAGTTCTGTGAGCCTCTCTAGCAAATTAATCCAACCTAAGAAGGGGCTATGGGAACCCTAATTTATAGCCAGTCGATCAAAAACACAGATAAAATACCCTGGGCTTGCAAATGCTGTCTGAACAGGGTATGTGTGGGAGGGGTGAGTGCTGGGGCCTGAGCCCTCAATCTGTGGGATCTGAGACTGTCTCCAAGTAGACAGTGTCAGAACTGGACTGAATTGAGACTGCCCAGTTCCTGTCCACTGCTACAGAATTGATTGCTTATTTGGTGTGTGGGGGGAAACCCTGGCAGAATTGGTCACAGAAGTCTTAGGTGTTGACTATTGAGCGACAGTGCTTTTTCCTCTCACAAACTGCTTTTGCGGGAGTTGAGGAATAAGCCATAATCCCTGCCACGTAGGTCCTCTCCTCACCAGTACAGGAGAACAAGCCAGTTAAGGCAAGAGGCGGAGGACATACCTAATGAGCCTTTATGTTTTGCAGTGAACTCTTTGGTGTTTGCTGCAAAACAGAGAACAGAAATTCCATCAGGAGGGGAACAGTGGGCTGCTTGGCAACATGTCTTTGACCTTGGGAACCTTTTCTAGAATACTTCCTGTCGCACAAGGCAAGCATTTTCAGGGCATTTCTAAGTCTCCAACCACGAGTAGTATTTATGGTTCATTTCTCTGCAGCCAAAGTTCAGGAAGAAATTGATCGTGTGATTGGAAGAAATCAAATGCCCTGCATGAGTGACAAGATGAAGCTGCCCTATACCGAGGCCATGTTGCATGAGATCCAAAGATATATCACGCTCCTTCCTTCGAATCTGCCCCATGCTGTGGCCCAGGACACAAAATTCAGACAATACGTCATCCCCAAGGTTAGCTGCATTTGGGAAAGCTGGCTGGAGAAGGGGCGCTGTGGTACCTTGCTGGGACCTGACAGAGGCTTCTCAGCCGGCTGCTGGACGAGAGGCGTAGAAAGTCACAGAGAGAATACAAGACCAGAATCACACAGCTTGGCTTCAGATCCCTTGTCGCTACACACAGCGCCCTCAGGCCAATCCTTTACCTCTGGGGCCTTGTCTGCCTTCCTGGAAGGAGGGAGGCTGACCTTTCCAAGGCCTCTTTCTGCTCGCCTATCAAATGTGTTAGGTGAACCATGATTCCATTATTAACAGTTTGATGGGAATAGAAGTCTGATTTTTCATAACAGATGGAAAAGGGAGGGTAAGAGATGGAAAGGTGCCTGTAGATGTAGGGTAATCAGGTGTCACCCCCTTTATTCCTGGCCTCTCCTCCCTGAATCTCACAGATATTTGGGGTGTTGCTGCTGCTGCAGGTTAACATTTGTAAAATGCTCAGCCCATGCCAAAATGTTTACATTCAATGGGATGTAGTCAGCTGAGGATCCCCATATTTGTGGCAGAAAAACTGCCCATAGCCACATCCATTACTGTTTTATACCCCACTAGCTCTGGTCAACCACTCAAACGGCCTACAGCCTGTGTGCAGTCATGCCGTTCCTGATTACCATTGTTCCTCATTCCTACCCCTATCTGAGCAAGCACTCCTGTGGTCTCTTGTTTTGAGCGCTGGTTAGTCAGTCAACGTAGGGTAAGATCCCCTGGGGGAACAACCTAAGACAGGCACAGCTGCATACAGAGACCACATGGAAACAGGGTCAACAATGGTATGGCCAAGAATCATGCCTCCCGTTGCTCAAAAATAAACAAAAAGGGGGAAATTTGGTGGAATGAGGAGGTGCAAAGGTCATGCCAAGATGGCTGCTGAGGTGAAAAGGTCATGCCAAGATGGCTGCTGACAACAGAAACTGCCTGGCAACAGGCCGTGATTGGATGGCTTCGGAGCCTGCCTGGCAACAGGCTGTGATTGGTTAGGGCATAGACCGCCCCTTGACCTGATTGGCTGCCTTGGCTATATAAGCAGCTGTAGCAACTGCTACAGAGGCTGCTCGCCTCTGGCCTGCTTTCACAGGACTCCTGGGGTCTGTGTGGTGACTCCGCGCCTCTTGACCCCTCGCCTCTTGACCCCTACACGTTTCTCATCTCGGGAACGAATCTTCTCAAATGAAATCAACCTCAACAGTCAGCCTTCTGTAGGGATTAAGGATGGTGAGCCTTAAATTTAAATTCCAGAGGATAGAAGATCCTCCATTTAGATCTGCATGTCAATTTCATTTAGATCTGTGTCAATAGATTTTTGCATTCATATTTCTAAGTGATGTTCATGGCTGTTTTATAGTATTTTGGTCAGGTTAGGCACCTTTTCTTCCCCTTTGAATTTTTGAAAAAATTCAAAGACATGTTGTGTTTGGGTAGGAAGCTAGCACTTACCCTCAAATTAGTCTATACATTTGTAAGACCTTAATGAAAATACCAACCAGTGATTTTTCTGGAACTGAACTAACAAATTTAAATTAAACATGGGATATTAGGAGTGGGCATTTGGCCTAGCAGTTAAAATGCCCCTACGACACCTGCTTCCCAGATCGGAGTGCCTAGGCTTAAGTCCTGTCTCTGCTTTTGATTTCAGCCTCCAGCTAATGTGCATCCTGGGAGATAGCAGATGTTGAATCTCTGCCACTCATGTGGTAGATCTGGATTGAGTTCTGAGCTCCTCACTTCAGCCTGGCCTAGCCTTGGCTATCACAGGCATTTGGGGAGTGAACCAGGGGATGGGAGATCTTTCTCTGTTTCTCTGTCTTCAAACAAAATGAAACAAAATAAAAAACTTTTTTTTTTTTTTGACAGGCAGAGTGGACAGTGAGAGAGAGAGACAGAGAGAAAGTTCTTCCTTTGCCGTTGGTTCACCCTCTAATGGCTGCCGCGGCTGGCGCGCTGCAGCCGGCGCACTGCACTGATCTGATGGCAGGAGCCAGGTACTTATCCTGGTCTCCCATGGGGTCCAGGGCCCAAGGACTTGGGCCATCCTCCACTGCACTCCCTGGCCACAGCAGAGAGCTGGCCTGGAAGAGGGGCAACCGGGACAGAATCTGGCACCCCGACCGGGACTAGAACCCTGTGTGCCGGTGCCGCAGGTGGAGGATTAGCCTAGTGAGCCGCGGCGCTGGCTTCTCAAAATAAAAAAACTTTTAAAAGATTTTATTTTATTTATTTGAAAGGAACAGTTAGAGATTGAATGTATTCTCCCATCCATTGATTCACTTCCCAAATGGCCACAACAGCCAGGGCCATGCCAGGCTGAAGCCAGGAGCCAGGAGCTTCTTCCAAGTTTCCCATGTGGGTGCAGAGCCCAAGGACTTGGGCCATCCTCTGGTGCCTTTCCAGGTGTGGTAGCAGGGAGAAGAATTGGAAGCCAAGCAGCCGGGACTGGAATTGGCACCCGTATGGGATGCCAGCGTTGCAGGTGACAGCTTAACCAGTTGTGCCACAGAGCTGGCCCCCTGAAAAAAATCCAATATAGGAAAGTTAAAGAATAGGCAGCGGGGCCCAATGCTGTGGTACAGCAGGTAAAGCCGCAGCCTGAAGTGCTAGCATCCCATATGGGCGCCGGTTAGAATCCCATCTGCTCCACTTCTGATCCAGCTCTCTGCTATGGCTTGGGAAAGCAGTAGAAGATGGCCCAAGTGCTGGCTTTGGATAGACTCAGCTCCAGCCATTGCAGCCATTTGGGGAGTGAATCAGCAGATGGAAGACCCCTCCCTCCCTCCCTCCCTTCTTCCCTCCCTCCCTCCCTCCCTCCCTCCTTCTCTCCCTCTCTCTCTCTCTCTCTCTCTCTCTCTGCCTCTCTGTAATGCTGCCTTCCAATAAATAATTTTAAAAAATAAAAATAGGGACTAATCCTATAAAATACAAAAATATAGAAATAAAGCTAGTTATTAAAGCAGTGTAAAAGTTTCTTGAATAGGCAGATAGAACAATTGATACATTCTAGGAATAAAATGAATTATAGTAGTTGCTTCCCTAGTATCCTAAAGCATATGTTTCAAGACCCTTAGTGGGTGCCTGAAACTACAAATAGTAACAAACTATACACTCAAGTACTAAAAAAAATGTATGGGAAAATGAAATTAAAATATAAGTTTACTTTGAAAGCTTAGTACTGCACACGATATAGGTGCCCTTTTGCTTTTAATTGTGATGTGGCAAAATATGAATTAGTCAAAAGGTATTAGAAAACTTCTATAAGAGTTGGAATAAAGTGATAGATCACACTTTACATGAATATTCTTTTTTTTTAAGATTTTATTTATTTGAGTGGTAGAGTTACAGATAATGAGAGGGAGAGACAAAGAGAAAGATCTTCCATCTGCTGGTTCGCTCCCCAAATGGCTGCAGGCTGGAGCTGGGCTGATCTGAAGCCAGGAGCCAGGAGCTTCTTCCGGGTCTCCCACATGGCCGCAGGGGCCCAAGAATTTGGACCACCTTCTACTGCTTTCCCAGGCCATAGGAGAACTGGATGGGAAGTGGAGCAGCCAGGACTAGAACTGGCGCCCATATGGGATGCTGGTGCCGCAGGCAGGGGATTAACCTACTGTGCCACAGTGCTGGCCCCATGAATATTTATTCTTTATGGCTTCAATATGGATATTTAGAATATTAAGCTTTAAAGAGACTAAGGATAAAAGCAATAACTTTTTTGAGAATTTCTGAGTGACAAAACATTTTCTAGTATTAACCAAAGCAAAGGGGAACAAGAGGCCCCTACATTTCTAAATTGATAAATTTGGTAACATGCAAATAAGAAAAATATGCCTAGAAAAAGAGACTACGTCAAAACCAAATGGCAGGCCGGCACCACGGCTCACTGGGCTAATCCTCCGCCTGCGGTGCTGGTACCTCAGGTTCTAGTCCCGGTTGGGGTGCCAGATTCTGTCCTGGTTGCTCCTCTTCCAGTTCAGCTCCCTGCTGTGGCCCGGGAAGGCAGTGGAGGATGGCCCAAGTGCGTGGGCCCTGCACCCGCATGGGAGACCAGGAGGAAACACCTGGCTCCTGGCTTCGGATCAGTGCAGCGCCAGCCATAGCGGCCATTTGGGGGGTGAGCCAACGGAAAAAGGAAGACCTTTCTCTCTGTCTTTCTCTCTCTCACTGTCTAACTCTGCCTGCAAAAAACAAACAAACAAAAAAATGGCAAACTGAAAGAACATTTGCATAGTACATGGGTAAAAGAATTCCTGAAAAAATAAAATGTACTTGTATAGTCAGATATAAAACTCCAAAACTGACAGATGCAGAGCAAGAGAATCAAAATTTGACTAAAATAATTACAAATTATTTTAAATGTGTAAATCTGTATTTGCCAGGTATAATTAAAAATTTAAAAATTACAAAGCAACTTTTTTTAATATGAAAAGTCTTTTTTTAAAATATTTATTTATTTATTTGAAGGGCAGAGTTAGAGAGCGGCAGAGGCAGAAAGAGAGAGAGGTCTTCCATCTGCTGGTTCACTCCCCAAATTGCTGCAATGGCCAGAACTGGACTGATCCAAAGCCAGGAGCTTCTTCCAGGTCCCCCATGAAGGTGTAGGGGCCCAAGGACTTGGACTATCTTCTGCGTTTTCCCAGGCACACCTAGCAGGGAGCTGGATCAGAAGCAGAGCATCCACGACTCAAACCCAAGCCCATATGGGATGCGGGCACTATAAGCAGCAGCTTTACCTGCTATGCCAGCCATAGTGTCAGCCCTGATGCTTTTTTTTTTAAGATTATTTTATTTATTTATTTGAAAGGAAAAGCAACACAGAGAGAGGGAGAGAAAGAGAGATTTTCTATCTACTTGTTTACTCCCCAAATGGCTTCAACCACCAGTGCTAAACCAGGCCAAAACCAGGAACCTGGAACTCCATCCAGGTCTCCCACAAGGTTGGCAGGGGCCCAATCACTTGGCCCATATTCCACTGCTTTCCCAGGCTCATTAGCAGGAAGCTGAATAGAAAACAGAGCAGCTAGTACTCTAACTGGAGGTCTGATACGGAGTGCTGGCATTGCTTAAACCTCTGCTCCACAGCACCAGCCCCGAGATTATTGATGCTTTACAAAAAGTTTATGAGAAAATGCCAAAGAAATCAGCAGTTTACAAATGGACAACTTGGTTTCAATAAGGGACAAGCCATTCTTGAATATGAAGCCCACAGCTGCAGGCCATCCACATCAGTTTTTAAGAAAAAAAAGAATCTTGTTTATGACCTGATTGGAATAGCAATGAGAGCAGAGAAGTCAACATCATACACATCTGAACTGGTTACGCTTACACAATTCTGACTGAAAAAGTTAAGTGGAGGGCCCAGCACTGTGGCGTAGCGGGTAAAGCTGCCGCCTATGACACCAGCACCACATATGGGTGCTGGTTCAAGTCCCAGCTGCTCCAGTTCCCCTCCAGCTCCCTGCTGATGTGCCTGGGAAGGCAGTGGAAGATGGCCCTGCACCCACGTGGGAGACCTGGAAGAAGCTCCTGTCTCTGCTCCTGGCTTTGGACCAGCCCATCTCCTGCTGTTTCAGCCATTTGAAGAGTGAACCAGTAGATGGAAGATGTCAGGATCTCTCTCTCTCTCTCTCTCTCTCTACGCCTCTTCCTCTCTCACTAACTCTGCCTTTCAAATAAATAAATAAATCTTTTTTAAAAAGTAAAGTGAAGTAAATTTTGGAAGAAATTTCCCATCTGCTGATTTACTGTCCAAATACCCACAATAACAAGGGCAAGGCCAAAGCCATGAATTAGGAATCATCATCATCATCATCATCATCATCATCATCATCTGAAAGGCAGAGTAACAGAGAGAGAGACAGATACAGATACAGATTGATCAATCTTCCATTTTCTGGTTCACTCCCCAAATGGTGGCAAGAGCAGAGGCTGGTTCAAGCTGAAGCCAGGAGCTAGGAATTCCACCTGGTCTCCCACATGGGTAGCAGGGACCCAGGTACTTGGGCCATCTCCTACTCTTTCCAGGCACACCAGCAAGTAGCTGGATTGGAACAGAGATGCCAGGACTTGAACCAGCACTCTGATATGGGATTCAACTTTGCAAGCAGTGGGCTTAACTCACTGTGCCACAGTGCCATCCCCAGTAGCCAGGAATTTAACCCAAGTCTCCCACATGGATGGCATGGACCCAAGTACCTGAGCCATCATCTGCTGCCTCCCAAAAGTGCACTTAACATGAAGCTGGAATTAGGCGCAGAACTGGAACTTGATGGCAGTCCAGTACGGGAAGTGAGCATCCCAAGTAATGTCCCAACTGCTGTGTCAAATGCCCACATCAAGGGAAGAGCTTTCAAAGGGAATTTTAAACAGCTGAGATCAAGGTCCTAAAGCATTTCTTTCAAGAATTGTAACAGAAGATGAAACAAGGCTTTATCGTATGATCCTGAAGACAAAGCACAATCAAAACAATGGCTACCAAGAGGTATACATGAAAACTGATGACAGTGATTACCTCAGTAAGGAAGCAGGTGATGAGAATAGAAAAGGGAAGGTGACTTATTTTCACTTTGTAACCTTTTGTATATTTTTTTTTTGGTATTGCATGTACATGTATTACCAACTCCAGTAGTTATACAAGTAATGTTTAAGGAAATACAAAATAAAGTAAAAGTGGAAAAAAAAAAACTTGCTTAAGCAGGGATGCTTATGGTCAGATAGAATTTGGTCCAAATTCTAACCTTGCCACTTGCCAAATATATAAACTCAACAAATTATTTCTCCTTTCTGAAGCTTAATTTCTTCATCTGTACAATAAGAACCCAAAAAGTATCTCCTGGATATAGTGGATCTGAGAATTAAATGAGATTTTTAAACAACTATGAGCATCAGGCAAATGTGAAACTATTTGCTATAACTGTCCACTATAAGTGGTAATTATAATTTTTTTTTTTGATAGGCAGAGTGGACAGTGAGAGAGAGAGACAGAGAGAAAGGTCTTCTTTTGCCGTTGGTTCACCCTCCAATGGCTGCCGCTGCCAGTGCGCTGGGGCCAGTGCACTGTGGCTGGCACACCACGCTGATCCGAAGCCAGGAACCAGGTGCTTCTCCTGGTCTCCCGTAGGGTGCAGGGCCCAGGCACTTGGGCCATCCTCCACTGCACTCCCTGGCCACAGCAGAGAGCTGGCCTGGAAGAGGGGCAACTGGGACAGAATCCAGCGCCCCGACCAGGACTAGAACCCTGCTGGTGCCGCAGGTGGAGGATTAGCCTATTGAGCTGCGATGCTGGCCAGTAGTAATTATCATTAAAAGTTTGTCATGTAAGTCAACCACACATTTCATGAGGCCAGGAGGAAAGCCTGCTGTTACCCCATTTTACAAGTGAGGAAAGTGGGGTTTGATTCAATCGGTTCAATCTGATCCGACTGAATGAAGATCTCATGTTCTTCCATTCACACCTGAATCCAGAAAGAAAAATAGTAAAATAAATAAATAAATAAGCGAGCTCTTCCAATTTGAGGCAATTCTAGTAAGCTCACATTTAGACACCATGGGTTGCAAATTCCAGTTTTTCACTTACAATTGATTATTGCAAGCTTAAAAGTGCCCAGTCCTGTTAAGTCCACTGTAACTAGGAGTGTTTGACTTGTTTATGAACCAAAGACGAGCATGATAAAATGCCACTGCACCCTCCACTTCTCACTTCCAGGGCACTACTATACTCCCATTGCTGTCTTCAGTCCTGTTTGATGGCAAAGAGTTTCCCAACCCAGAGAAGTTTGACCCAGGACACTTTCTGGACAAAAATGGCTGCTTTAGGAAAACAGACTACTTTGTGCCTTTTTCCCTTGGTAAGTACAAGTAAATCCATCAGACAACACACATGCACGTTTTGGACAGTTTTTAGCTTCGCTGAATCTGTGGCCTAAGTAAGTAATCTGTTGATAGCAAAATCATTCACTCTCCCAAATCTGGATGGGACCATTTAAGTGTATACATCAGTAAGATCAGGTAAGTCACCCAGGGATTATTTTGTTGTTTGGTAATAGCAGTGTTTAAAGAAACCAAAGCAAGTCAACCCAAATAAGATGTCACACATTACAAGATGACAAAAGAACCTGCTTTTGCACACTTTTCTTTGTTTTCCTTTTGTAATATTGACTCCCCCTCCCCCCCCAAAAAAAGTTCAGGTTTCTTTATTTGCTTTTAACCATTGGCTGTTGTTAATTTTCTGATTTTTAGAGCCAGATGCTGTCAAAGAGCCCTAGTCACTATATTTTCCTTTTTCCTCTCCAAAATTTTGAACCCCTGCACGCACATCTTTGCCTTTGATTCTCGGTTACTATTTCCATAAGGTCATAAAGACAATTTAAGGATGGATCAGCACATATTGTTCCTTGTTATCTTATGTATTCATTTGATTAGTATGTTCAAAAATAACATTTTTTATAAAGATTTATTTATTAATTTGAAAGAGAGAGAGAGAGAATATCTTCCATCCTCTGGTTCACTCCCCGAATGGCTGTAACAGCAGGGGCTGGTACAAGCTAAAGCCAGGAGTCAAGAGCTTCATCTAAATCTCCCAAGTGGGTTCAGGGAGCTAAGCTCTTGGGCCAGCTTCTGCTGCTTTCCCAAGCACATTAGCTGGGAGCTGGATCAGAAGTAGAGCAGCCAGGACTCAAACCCATGTGTACATGGGATGCTGGCGAACCAGGCTGCAGCTTAACCTACTACACTACAATGCTGGCCTCCCAAAATAACATTTAATATGTTGTTCCTAATTACAATGATAAAAGTTCAACATAAAAATGAATAATGTAGAAAAACAAAAAAAGGAAATAAAAATTATCTGCAATTTCTACAGAGATAATCAGTGTTTTGTTGCATATATCAAACACTGTCTAGTATTTCATTTAGTATACTGTGAAAAAACATAGCCCATGATATTAAATAATTTTCCTAGTGAGTGTTTTAGGTGGCATTGTAAGAAAGATGCACAGTGACCTGCTTGACCAATCCATTATGGATAGATACCTAGGTTTACATCTCGTCAGTGTCATTACTAATGATGCAAATGGATCCCCATAGTAAGAAAGGCTCCAGAAGGAGAAATACTGCAGAGTGAAATTTCCTTTAGTGTTCCGATGTGAATCGACAGATACTCCCCTAGAATAACTAACTGCACAAGTCTGTTGTCCTCCTGCACTTTGAGGGAGCTCTTTCTCTGACCAGTGCTTTCACTGGCTTTTAGGGGTTCATCCTATTTGAACAGAAAGAGCACTAATGGCAGTGTTTCCTCCTTCCAGGAAAACGGGTCTGTGTTGGAGAAGGTCTGGCCCGCATGGAGCTGTTCCTCTTCTTCACCACCATTCTGCAAAACTTCTCCCTAAAGCCCCTGGTGGAGCCACAGGAGATAGATGCCAAACCCATTGTTACTGGGTTTTTCAATATTCCCCCAGTTTACAAGCTGTGTCTTATTCCTAGATAAATGAAGAGCTTGTCTCTGTAACCATTCAAATCAGTCATTGCCTTCCCTCCCCACTAGAAATAGTTCCTCTCTTCCTTTTAAATACTGTCTAGAACAGAAATCCAATCACTAAACAGTAGATAGACATTTGTTCAAATCTGCAAATTCCTTGACATAAAGAAGCTGGAACCTGAAAACTCCGAGGGTACAAACTCTGTCTTTGTACCTTTTACAGTGCTTTAGAAACCATACCGGAGCAGAACCCAGACCAGGCCCACAGATCGCCGTGATCAGGGACAGTCACAGTGAAGCCCTGTCTCTTCTGTGGCTTTGGAGATGGGCCAGTTTTCTGTAATTTTTTAAGATAGAGGAATTAATATAATGGCCTGTGTGTATTTTTCTATTTCCGATTAAAAGCACCTATGTGATTTCTGCCACTTTCTCAAAATAAATACTTACTTCAACAATAGGTTTTCTTGGTATGTTTAACTTTATTTCTTTTTTTATTTTTTTATTTTTTTTAATTTTTGACAGGCAGAGTGGACAGAGAGAGAGACAGAGAGAAAGGTCTTCCTTTACCGTTGGTTCACCCTCCAATGGCCGCTGCGGCAGGCGCACTGCGGCTGGCGCACCACGCTGATCCGAAGCCGGGAGCCAGGTGCTTCTCCTGGTCTCCCATGCGGGTGCAGGGCCCAAGCACTTGGGCCACCCTCCACTGCACTCCCTGGCCACAGCAGAGAGCTGGACAGGAAGAGGGGCAACCGGGACAGAATCTGGCGCCCCGACTGGGACTAGAACCCCGGTGTGCCGGCGCCGCAAGGCGGAGGATTAGCCTATTGAGCCACGGTGCCAGCCCTTAACTTTATTTCAAGTCTCAAAGACCTCTCTCCTTGAGCTATGGGTAATCTACAAGTTAGATGTGCTAAACTGATAAAATTAAGTGACAGCCTTTTATCCGAGGTCTGTCCTGGCCCCAGTCCCATCTATCTGCAGCCTTGATTTACATGTGGCACAAGGAGCCTCCTTGGATAAGAAAGCAAACCACAGCCACAGCTAGGATTCAGCTATGTCCTATTTAGAAAGTGGTGAGGGGTGGAATTGAGTTGCAAGAAAAGACTGCCCATTGCCCAGAGGACAGAGGCCTGGAAGGAAACAACAGGGATAGCTGCCCTAGCCTTGGCCCTAGGATTACAGCGAGCAGCTGCACAAAGCATGGCCCACGTGCCGGCAGCCAGTCCAAACTCCAGGAGAGAGGAGGAGCTTCACAAGTAGAGCTGAGCCAAGAGAAGGAGAAGACAAGCCACAAACTGGGAGAAAATATTTGCAAAGGACACTTCTGGTAAAGAGCTCTCAAAACTCAACAATAAGGGAGGCGGGACAAAGGCCTGACTTTCACCAAAGAAGACACACAGATGACAAGTATATGAAAAGATGCCCCACATCGTGCATCATCAGGGGAATGCAAGTTTAAAACAACAGTGAGACACCACTACATTAGAACTACCAAAATCCAAAGCACTGCCAATACCAAACGCAGGTGAGAGTGTGGAGCAATAGGACTTTTCTCTTGATGCTGGTGGGAATGCAAAAACAGTACAGCCAGTTTCAAAGACAGTCTGGCAGTTTCTTACAAGAACAAACAGACGCCCAGCAATCATGCTCTTTGCTGTTTACACAAAGGAGCTGAAAATTTATGTTCACACAAAAACCTACACATGGATGTTTGTAGCAGTTTTGTCCATAATTGCCAACACTTGAAGTCAACCAAGATGTTCTTAAGAAAATAAATGAGTAAGTAGACTGTGGGACGTCCAGACAATGGACTAAAAAGAAATGAGGTATGAAGCCGTGACAAGGTATGGAGGACATGTAATTGAATAGTAAGTGAAAGAAGCCAGTCTGGAAAGGTTCCACACTGTCTGATTCCCACTGTATGGCAATCTGGAAAAGGCAAAATGTCGGAGACTGTGATGAGGGAAGGATGAGCCTGCAGGGCAAGGGGCTGTGAAGGCAGTGGAAATCCTCTGGACGATGCTGCACGCATGGACCCATCTCATACAGTTGCTGAAATCTATATTGTGTTCATTAAAGGGTTCACAGCTCTGCAATGCAAAGTATGGACTTTGGGTGATTATGTGTCCATGTGGGTGCATCAGTAGAAGCAGATACACCATTCTAGTATGGAGTGTTGATAGCGGGGAAGGCTGTACATGTGTGGGAGTGGGGAGTATGTGGGAAATCTGTGTCTGCTCAGTTTTTCTTTAAACTTAAAATTTCTCAAAAATAATATTGACTCCATCTCATCTCATATTTAAAAAGAATAGAGTTGAGCTTCTAGTTATAAAACCCAAAGGGTCACTAATATGTCCCTGGCCACATAAAGGCTTCTAAGTAATTTTGGTCCTCATTGCACTCCTGAAAGTCTTTTGTTGCATCTGCTCCAGGTTAAGAAGTCAGACACAGTGATCCTAAAGTTATCAAAATACAAGGGACCCAAATAGCCAAAACAAGCCTAAAAAAAAAAAGAATAAGACATAAAAGTAGAGTAATTAAGGCTATGTGAGGGGCTGGTGCTGTGGTGTAGCAGGTAAAACCGCCACCTGCAATGCCAGCATCCCATATGGGTGCCGGTTCAAGTCCCAGCTACTCCACTTTCAATCCAGCTCTCTGCTATGGCCTGGGAAAGCAGTAGAAGATGGCTCAAGTCCTTGGGCCCCTGCACTCACGTGGGAGACCCCGAAGAAGCTCCCGGCTCCTGGCTTTGGATCAGCACAACTCCAGCCATTGCAGCCAACTGGGGAGTGAACCAGCAGATGGAAGACCTTTCTCTCTCTCTCTCTCTGTCTCTCTCTCTCTGTCTCTCTCTCTGCCTCTCCTTCTCTCTCTGTGTAATTGTGACTTTCAAATAAATAAATCTTTTTTTAAAAAAATGAAGTGGAACCTCTTCCTTAAATAATAAACAAAAATTAACTGTAAATTGATTATAGACTTAAATGTAAGCATTTAAATATAAAGTGCTTAGAAGAAAACATGGGAGTAATTCCTTATGATTTTAGATAAGGCAACAGTTTCTTAAAATGACACCAAAAGTACAAGTGACAAAATTTAAAAAAAAAAAATGGACTTTATCAAGATTTAAAACTTTTGTGCTCCAAAAACAAAATCAAAAAAAGTGAACAGACACCCCACAGAATGGGAGAAAACATTTGCAAATCCTATCCCTGAAAAGAGACTTGTATCCAGGATATATATAAAGAACTCTTATAACACAGCAATAAAAAAGACAAGCTAATTATAAAATAGGCAAAGTTTTGAATAGATAAAAATATAAACAAGTGGACTATAAGCACATGAAAAGATTCTCAAGATCATTCATCATTAAGGATATGAAAATCAAAATTACAATGAAATACCACTTCACACCCTCCAGGATAGTTAATCTTAAAAAAAAACAAAACAAAAAAAAAACAAAAACAGAAAATAACAAGTATTGGTGAGAATGTAGAGAAGTTGAAATCTTCATAAATTTCTAGTGGGAATGTAAAATGGTGCACCTATTTTTTTTTTTAATCTTTAATGAATATAAATTTCCAAAGTACGACTCATGGGTTACAATGGCTTTCCCCCCCCTACCGTCCCTCCCACCCACAACCCTCCCCTTTCCCACTCCCTCTCCCCTTCCATTCACATCAAGATTCATTTTCGATTATCTTAATATACAGAAGATCAGCTTAGTATACCTTAAGTAAGGATTTCAACAGCTTGTTCCCACACAGAAACATAAAGTGAAAAATAATAGATGATTTTTTTTTAAATCATGATGAAATCAGATCAGACCTATTGTCATGTTTAATCCCAGTGAGAGTCAAGTTGGGAATTGATAATTTCTTCATTTTCGATTATCTAATATACAGAAGATCAGCTTAGTATACCTTAAGTAAGGATTTCAACAGCTTGTTCCCACACAGAAACATAAAGTGAAAAATAATAGATGATTTTTTTTTAAATCATGATGAAATCAGATCAGACCTATTGTCATGTTTAATCCCAGTGAGAGTCAAGTTGGGAATTGATAATTTCTTTTTTTTTTTTTTTTTTTTTTACAGAAGATCAGTTTAGTGTACATTAAGTAAAGATTTCAATCGTTTGCACCCCCATAGAAACACAAAGTGAAATATACTGTTTGAGTACTCGTTATAGCATTAAGCCTCAGTGTACAGCACATTAAGGACAGAGATCCTACATGAGGAGTAAGTGCACAGTGACTCCTGTTGTTGACTTTACAAATTGACACTCCTGTTTATGGCATCAATAATCTCCCTATGCACCAGTCATGAGTTTCCAAGGCTATGGAAGCCCCTTGAGTTCTCCGACTCTTATCTTGTTTAGACAAGGTCATAGTCAAAGTGGAGGTTCTCTCCTCCCTTCAGAGAAAGGCACCTCCCTCTTTGAAGACCTGTTCTTTCCACTGGGATCTCACTCACAGAGATCTTTTTGCCAGAGTGGTGCACCTATTTTTGAAAACAATTTGGCAGTTCCTCAAATTATAAGTACAGAACTACCACATGACTCAGCAATTTTACTCAAGAAACCAAGAGAAATGGAAACATATTGTTGCCATATAAAAACTTGTTCATCTGGCATTGCAGGGTAGTAGGTTAAGCTGTCACCTACCATAATGGCATCCCATATGGGTGTCTGTTCAAGTCCAGCTCCCTGCTAATGTGCCTGGGAAAGCAGTGGGAGATTGTGCAAATGCCTGGGCCCTTGTCCCTTGTGGGAGACCCAGATGGAGTTACCGGCTTCTGGTTTCAGCCTGACTCAGCTCTGGCTGTTGCAGCCCCCTGGGGAATGAACCAGCAGATGGAAGATCTCTCTCTTTCTCTACTGTAACTCTGCCTTTCAGAGAAATAAAATAAGTCATTAAGAAAAAAAAATTGTACAGGAATTCTCATAATAGTCTTATTCACACTAACCAAAAAGAGGAAACAGGCCAGCATCCCCAGTCAGAGCACCAGTTCGAGTCCCCGCTGCTCTACTTCTGATCCAGCTCCCTGCTAATGTGCTTGGGAAGGAAGTGAAGGGTGGCTCAGCTGCTTGGTCTCCTGCTGCCCACATGGAGACGCTGATGGAGTTCCTGGCTGCTGGCTTCAGCTTGACAGAATCCCAGCTACTGCTGCTATTTGGGAAATGAACCAGCCAGATACTTCTCTCTGTCACTCTGCATTTCAAATAAATAAAAAATCAGAATATAAAAGTGGAAACAAACAAATGTCCATTAACAGATGAACAGATAAAATGTAGTTCATTCGTATAGTGGAATATTATTCAGCAAGAAAAAGGGGGAAAGTGCTGATACACATTGCAACACAGTGAACCCTGAAAACGTCATGCTAAGTGAAAGAGCCAGGGGATGGGCACTGTGGCGCAGCAGGTTATGCTGCCACTTGGGACTTCCACACTCAATTATCAGAGTGCCTGGGTTTGAGTCCTGCCTCCACCACTTCTTCTTCTTCATCTTCTTCTTCTTCTTTTTTTTTTTTTTTTTTTAGATTTATTTATTTGTTTGAAAGGCAGAGTTGCAGAGAAGCAGAAGAAGAGACAAAGAGAGAAAGATCTTCCATCTGCTGGTTCACTCCCCAAATGGCCACAACAGCCAGGACTGGGCTAGGCTGAAGCCAGGAGCCAGGAGCTTCTTCTGGGTCTCCCATGTGGGTCTAGGGGCCCAAGCACTTGGCCATCTTCTGCTGCTTTCCCAGGCACATTAGCAGGGAGCTGGATCAGAAGTGGAGCAGCTGGGACTAGAACCAGCACCCATATGGGATACTGGTGTTGCAGGCTATGACTTTAACCTCTGAGTCACAGCACTTGCTTCCTTGCCTCCACTTCTGATTTAGCTTCCTGCTAATGTGCCTGGGAGGCAGAGAATGATGGCCCAAGTTTTAGGTTTCTGCCATCCACATGGGAGACCCAAATGAAGTTTCTGGCCCCTGGTTTTGGCCTGGCCCAGCCTCAGTTGTTGCAGGCATTTGGGGAGAGAATTAATAGATGGAAGATACTCATCCTTTCTCTCTCCCTCCCTCCCTCCCTCCCTCTCTCTCTCTCTTCTTTTCCCTCTCCCTATTTCCCTCTCCCTCTTTCAAATAAATGAATCTTTTTTAAAAAGCCAAACACAAAAGTCACATACTGTTGTGTGATTCCATTTGTATGAACCGTCTATAATAGGCAAACCCAAAGTGATGGAAAATGGACTAGTGGATGCATAAGGCTAGAAAATGATTGCAAAGAGGCACAAGGTTTTCTTAGGAGGGGATGAAAATATTCTGAAGTTAGAAGTAATGATTGTACAACTCTGTATGTTCTAAAGACCACTGAACTGTACACTTAAATGGATGAATTTTATAGTACGAATTATATGAGGGAATTTCAAAAAGTTCTTTAGTGAGATGGCTGCTCTTTTATTAATGAGACATGAATTGTGTCTCAATAGAAACTAAAAAGACATTTCAGAATAAATTATTGCTGTATGTAAAAAATTCATTGAAAATGGAATTGAAAGATAAGGCTTTTTTGGCACCAAAAATTCTGAAATCCATTCCTAGTTTTTTTTTTTAATAATATGCATTTTCCATGACGTTTTTGAAGACCTCTCATATCTCAATAAAGCTGTTATTTTAAAATTACATATACAAAAGCATAGGTGAACAATAGTTAGCAAAACTGTCCGGAGTAAGTAGCTGCATGATGACTGGTTTATGGATATCTCCTGAATCCCTTCTCAGGGCATGCACCTGTCAAAACTCTGGTTCCAGACACGTCCCAGCAGAAGGCAGACTGGACATCAACATTACAAGCCACCAAGGGGAGAAGGAAGATCCTAGTACCAAACGAGGCTGGAACAGGGGGAATTGGGCCACTTACGGTAAGTCAACGATTCATTCTGCATTTTCCAAGTGCTTGGCAAACATAGGCTTGATTGAGGCTGATGTTGATATAGGAGAAAGAATGGGGAGACTGATTCAATTTCATGCTTCAGTTCTGTCTGATAATTGAATATTTCTGCAAATTTGAAATCAAGTGGAAAAGGTTTACTACAAAATACTTTTGGCCTTAGTGATGACAAATTTTTTTGTTTGTTTTTTTAACTCTCAAAGACTTTATATACTTTGATGCATAATTTATAATCTATTTAGATGTCAAGTCTGGGTCTGAATTGGATGGTGCTGAGCTCACCTTCATATTTGTAGTCATCTGAGATGACCCCCATGAGTTTACAACCTCAGGGCTCTATGCCAAATCCAAGAAGCTGTCTGTTAGTTTCCAGTGGAAAAAATATGTTTGATCTTCACTGATGATCCAGTTGCTCAAACTGAAAAAAAAAAGGGCGGGGGAGTGCGGTCTTAGACAATTATTTTTATTTTCAGAGTCAGTGTTTGCTTTAGGAGAGAGCATAAAGTAGAAGAAAGCTGTTCTAACCATATCCGTGTGACCTTGGGTAGGTCCAGATCTTCATCTGAAAATGGGCTTAGCAACACCTGCTCTCCAAGGTTAGGAGATTAAGGATTAGTAATAATGTATGCATTTTCCCCAGAAAGTCAGAGGGACTTAAATGCAAATTCAAACTTTTAAACATTCTTTGTGAACCGTTCATTGTGTTTTCCCACTTTTGTTTTCCACAGTGTTTACTAGTTTAGTTTGGAAAATACCTGGCTTAGTCACTATTCAATTAATTAAAATTTGTTATTACATTTCTCTGATAAAATAGTGACATGTTGGGTTTCTTTTATACTGTCTTATTACAATATCACATTTCTCTGATTTTAAGATACTATCCGTTTCAAGACACATGCCAGTTTCTGAGACATTCAAATATCAAAGAAAGAGTGACTTAGAATCAACCATGTGCTCTCTGCCACGTTTTGACCCAGAGCACATTACAGGCTCAGCTAAGAGCGCTGCTCAGAAGTCTGACATGAGGTAGCCCCTCATCCCAAATGAGCAGATTGTTTAGGGACAGGCTGCTCTTTTCTGGTTAACCTTCTGCCCGATACCCGCACTGATGTCCTATCGGTAAACACACCTCACGTTAGTTTTTTCAGACTCAGAAAGAACCACTTTACTCACGACAAGGAGGATTACACAGGTACAGGCTATTTGCAAATTAGGCAACGCTGGTACACAGAATGGACTCAGAGTCCACCCTGTGCCTATTTTCCCACTGGCTAGAGCACAAGCTGCCGGTCAGCATGTCACCGAAGCAATGATTGCCATGTTGGAAGTAAGTTTAGCCAGGGTCTGGGGGGGAATTCACCGAAGTCATTTCCTGCCTTGCTCTAAAGCCAACAAAATGGAAAACAGGGATCTGGTTCACTGTTGTTACTTTTCAACATGAAAGCCTGGCCATGCGTGGTGCAGGCTAGGGACTGGGAATCCAGAAACAGGATGGAGTCCCTGGCCTTAAGAACCTTGTGTTTTAATCAGGGGAAAACAAAACAAAACAATAAGGATGGCATCATACAATGTTTGTAGAGGAGACTTAGAGTTCTATGGAGACCCAAGAGAACACGGAAATCAGACCAGGGCTAGTGACAGGAAAGTTTAGAGAAAACGATGCTGGAATCTGCTGTAGAGGCACGAATAGTGTCCAATAGTGTCCAAATTCCAAATGAGGGAGAGATGTTCCAAAATTCAGCGGTTTTTGAAAGATTGCGCGTTGCTGGGATGGCTGGGAGTGTTGGCCAGGGGCAGGGGATGTGCTGCCAGACGGCAGGAAGCAGATGGCGGTGCAGGGCCTTTCCCAGGTAGTTGGACCTAACCCGGACGAATGCAGAACCAACAGAGGATCTAAGCACCGGAAGGGAGGGGCGGGCCACGAGGTGTGGCTGGAGCGGAAGAGGCCGAGGGGAGTCAGCGGTAGGGAGCAGCTGCCCTGAGCCGGGCGAGGGTGGATGAGAGCAGAGCTGAGGCAGTGACAGGTGAGGGGAACAGCTGGGACCCCTGGGACCAGAGAGCAGTCTGCGAGGGGAAGGCGTGAGGAGCGGTTTGGAATGGCTCCCACATTTCTGACTTGGGCAACAGGGGGTGCCATTTCCCAAGAGGAGCAGCTGTCGGGGAAGAGACACTGCGTTTAGAATCACACAGGTCAGGTGCCCGAGGAGCAGGCTAACGGCTAGCATCGCCGTAGCGCTCTGCAGTTTAACAGAACTTACTGAAATGTGAGGCATGACGGGAGCAGACCGTGAGAGGGGACTCGGAGGGTCTCGTGGGAGCTGATCTGGAGGGGAGGAGCGAGCGGTCTGCAGGGAGCACTCGGAACCCCAGCAGGAGTTTGCAGGACTGAGTTCAGAGGCAAATATGTTGGAGAATTTGTTCTGACAAATTCCAATTCAACCGAAGGCAAAATAAAAGAACACAAAAAAGAAACTTCTATCCCCAATTAAAAAGGGGTGGGGGCCGAATGAAGTGAATTTGAATATAAAATATGTGAGACCCAGAGCCGGCACATCCCTGTGCAGACGCTGGGAAAGAGCCCCGCTTCTGTAAAATGCAGAGTTGCCCAACGGTGTGACTGAGGGTGTGACCGAGACGGCCTCTGTCCTGCAATATCTGTTCCCTGTGTCTGAACAGAACCGCTGGTTTTCAGCTGGGCCCATGGTTGTCTGGGAAAAGACCATCCTTTTCTGTTTTCCACACACAGAGGCATGGCCATACAAGTGCCGATTAAGAGCTAGCCCCTAGAAGGGACGTGCAAGTGATGTGGGAAACTGTGGGAAGATAGCCTTTTTAAAGATGGGTTCATTGAGATACGGTTCACACTGCACCTATTTATACGAATTAAAACTTTGGCCAACATCACACTTCCACCCTAGCTTCTGGTAGTCACCATTCTACTCTCTACTTCTGTCAATTTGACTTACTTGGTTTCCAGGGGGAATTTGTCTTTCCATGCCCGGTTTATTTCATTTATCACAATGTCCAGGTTCATCCACATTGTTGCGAGTAACAGGATTTTCTTCTTTTTAAGGCCATATAGTGTTCTGTCGTATGTGTGAGTGCGGCAATGCATACCGCAGTTGGCTGTGCTTCTTCAGTTGGTGATGGATACCTAGCTTGCTTCCATGTATGTGCTGTTGTGACTAGCGCTGCAGTGAACACGGGAGTGCAGCTGTCTGTTCAACACACTGATTTCACTGGCTTTTCTTGACGACCTCAAAGGTTCTGTGAAGACCAATAGAACAGACAGAGACACTAACTACTTTGATTTTTAAAAAATACTTATTTGGGGGCCAATGCTGTGGCATAGCAGGTAAAGCTGCCACCTGCAGTGCTGGCATTTCATATGGGTGCTAGTTTGAGTCCTGGCTCCTCCACTTCTGATCTAACTCCCTGCTATGGTTGGGAAAGCAGTGGAAGATGGCCCAAGTCCTCCGGCCCCTGCACCTGCGTGGGAACCTGGAAGAAGCTCCTGGTTCCTGGATCAGATCAGTGCAGCTCCAGCCACTGTGGCCATTTGAGGAGTGAACCAGAGAATGGAAAACCTCTCTCTCTCTCTCTCTCTCTCTCTCTCTCTCTCTCCTCTCTCTGTGTAACTCTGACTTTCAAATAAATTTTTTAGTGGGTGCAAACTGATGAAATATTTACTTAATATATACTAAATTGATCTTCTGTATATAAAGATAATTGAAAATGAATCTTGATGTGAATGGAATGGGAGAGGGAGCGGGAGATGGGAGGGGTGCGGGTGGGAGGGAAGTTATGTGGGGGAAAAGCCATTGTAATCCAGAAACAGTACTTTGGAAATTTATATTTACTAAATAAAAGTTAAAAAATAAATTTTTTAAAAAATTGTTTTTGTTTTATTTGAGACAGAGATGGGGCAGAGAGGGAAAGAGAGATCTTCCATCTACTAGTTCATTCTCCAAATGCTTGCAACAGCTGGGGCTGGACCAGGCTGAACCAGGAAACTGAAATGCAACCAGGTCTCTGATGTGAGTGGCAGGCGCCCAGCTGCTTGAGCCATCACCTGCTGCCTCTCAAGGTGTATGTTAGCAGGAAGCTGGAATGGAGAGTGGAGCTGGAGCTGAGACCTAGGCACTCCAGTAGGGGGTGCGGCCATCCCACGCAGAGTCTTAATGGCTATGCTAATCACCCACCCAACAATCTTGATTTTATTACAGGCTTGGCCAGTGGACAAAACTTACATTGAAGGCAAACAGATGCATTTTGAAAGGTATCAATCTAATATCGACCTGTAAGGTTTTTGTTCATATTTGTATTATATTCTGTGGGGCTCTTTTTCCTCCTCTACAGTTTTTCTACTTAACATGTAAGGATGAGAAACAATAAAGTAAGTTTCTCTTCTTTTTTTAAGATTTATTTATTTATTTGAAAGGCAGAGTTACAGAGAGGCAGAGGCAGAGAGAGAGAGAGAGGGGTCTTCCATCCACTGGTTCACCCCCCAAATGGCCACAACAGCTGGAGCTGAGCTGCTCCGAAGTTAGGGGTCAGGAAGTTCTTCCAGGTCTCCCACACAGGTGCAGAGGCCCAAGGACTTGAGCCATCTTCCACTGCTTTCCTAAGCCATAGCAGAGAGCTGGATCAGAAGTGGGGCAGCCAGGGATCAAATCAGCTCCCATAGGGGATATCAGCACTGCAGACAGTGGCTTTACCTGCTATGCCACAGCACCGGTCCCATAAATTTCTCTTCTGGGGGAAAAAAAATCAGAGAAAGGAAGGAAAGAATTAGTTTTTTAAAATGATAATAAGCATGTATCATTTTACAAATAAAAGTTAAACAATTGTGAGAATTATGACACAGAACTGAATGTGAATGTTGGAATTCTTAATATGTAAAAATGATGTCACCGACATAAATGCAGAGACATGAGATTGCAAGGGAGGTTCTGGGAGAAGAGCTAATCTTAGGGCATTCTCTCTTCAGAGCTACCAGTGCTTTCCCATGACTCTTGGAATAAAACCTGAACTCGCCAGGCAAATGGTATGCACGCTCGCCTCTTCAGTCCACCAAGCTCCCCACTCAGCAGCAGCTGTCCACTCCTGAAGCAGGTGAGTCATTCATTCAGCATTTATTGAGCACCTACTATGAGCCAGGCATTCAATGTTCTATGCATTGGGAGAAGAGCATGGAAAAACCACACCATCTTTTTGCTTTTATGCAACTTGCATGTTAGTGGGGTATACAGACATTATAAAGAAATAATTACTACTTTGTCCATTACCTTCAGGTCATGATAAGTATGGTAAAGAACTGAGTCAAGGGGTAGTGGCCAGGGACTAGCTTAGGTAGGGAAATCAGGGCCAGCAGCTTGAAAGTGGTGATGTTTGAGCTTGGGCTCAACTAATAGGAAGGGAAAATGTAGAAGAGCATCCCTGGCAGGAAAAATGGCACCTGAAAAGGCCCTTGGGCACGAATCAGCATGGCGTGTCCAAGGAATAGGAATAAGGACACCGGAACTGTTGCTTACCGGAACGTTATGTCGTTGTAAGAAGTTTTTATTCCAGCTATGGTCGGAATCACTGCAATATTTGGTTAGAAAGTAATCTATGTTTTTTTGTCCTTGCTATTTGCAAAGAATAAAACTGGTGGGGCAAAAACATGGAAGCAGGGAGAATCTTCAGAATTTGGAGAACATACATGACAGACCATGTCATGGAAAAGCCGAGGGAAAGCTGCAGAAAGCTCACAGGCTTTGCAGTCTGAGCCCCGATGTAACCCCCAGATGTGCCAAATGTGAAGTATGTGCCCCGGGGAGGTCATTTGAACTTTAGTGGCTCCACATGTGCAAATGGTCTCTCCAGTTCGTAAGTCTCTGCTCTGACTCCAGGGACCAGGAACAGGTGGATGGCATTAGTCGTGGGTGCCAGTTCGCAGACCTAGTGAAGAAGTGGGGCAGCCATTGGAAATACACTTCTGGAACTCAGCGAAGGAGAAGCAAGGGAGATAAACTGGAGAACCATCAGCTTACAGGACTTGTAGATGAGACATCTAGGAATGGGTGCAGGAAAACAGAAGAAATTCAAAGCCACCCTGGCTGACCCCAGTAGGCCAAGGGAACAAGAAGCTTTTCCACCTCAAAGACTTCCCCCACTGCACCCCAAACGTCTCCACCCCTTTTATCTGGCTAGCATCTACTCATTCAAATCTCCCATCTCGGTCCACACATAGCTTTATTTGTTTTCTAATTCATTCAGTACATTTTGCTGGAATTAAGTGGTAAACAGTAGGATAAATCTGACATTTCACTAAGCTAATCTTCTACTGGGAGATCCAGCCAATAAGCGCTACTCAAGTTAACAAATCAAGAGGTAACTACAGTGGTAAGTAAATACCCTGAAATCAACAGGATGGCAAGACAGCATGACCAAGGAAAGCCACTTTGGATGAGATGAAGAAGGTCTGTGCAACTGACCATTATATGAAGGTCAGAGTATGAGATGAGTTGGGAGAACTTGGTAGGCAGAGAGAATTGGAAGGACTTGCCCTGTCCGAAGGATTGGCTTCCTTTCTTTCAAGGTTTGACCAAGTCCCCTTTGCTCTGTGTTCTCATAATGCTTATTACCCCAATATTTCTCAGAGAGTGATTGGCAGTTAGACTTGAGCTGGACTCTTGATTCGTACATAGGTTCAGTCAACTAACATTCATTGAGCAGGGTTAATTCACATTGAGACTGCTCTGAAGCGTTCCTGCTGGAGAACATAAAGGAAGAAATTTTAAAGCTAACTGGAAGTCTAGTTGTGAAGGCTGATGCCTTTGCCTACCCAAGGCTGACCTCTCCCGCCCCCCACCCTCTCCCTCTGCCCCCTCCCTCCCCGTCTATCCCCCTGCCTCCCCTCTTCTTTCTCTAGGGTCTTACAAAGCATGATAGAATAAAAGATGATTTCTTTGCCCCTCCCCTCTTGAGAGTAAGTAGCCCTGTGCTTCCTCCCAACTCCTTCCATTTTTCTCACATTTCTCTCGTGGGTTCTGGCCCCTGCTCCTCATCTGTATTACCAGAATGAGATGAGCAGGATACTGAACTAACTGTGCCAGAGGGCTTGTGTCTAGCTCCCCTTCACTCCTTGCTTCCACTCTGGAAAATTCCTCCTCTAAAATGGCAATTGCAGTACCTTCTCCCCAGCCATCGTGAGGGGAAATAAGGAAATAGTTGATAGCCTGCAAGGTAATATAGAATTGCGAAGCATTACTAGTAGTTGCCTAAGGCACAGTGGAGACTTGGTCCAGATAGGGACAGCTGTAAGGATACTGGGAACTCAGAAAAAAGGAAATGCCTAAAATCAGGGTGAGGAAAAGAAATAGAACAATGAGGATGCCAGAGCTTGTCTGGGCCTACACAGCCATCTGCAGGCGTGGCTTCCCAAGACTTGGGTATCAGACAACTCAGATTTCTGTTTTGGCCTCCCCTGAGAGCCCAGGTTCTGTATGTGTTCCCCCTTGCAGTGGGAGAAAGTGATTGCAAGAGCAGGTGTTTGGCCCAATGGTTAAGATGCTGGTTAGCACAACTGCATTCCACATGGAGGACCTGGGTTCAAGACCCAGCTCCAGCTCCTGAAATTCCAGTTTCCTGCTGACGCAGGTCCCAGGAGGCAGCAGGTGATGGCTCAAGTAGTTGAGCTCCTGCCACCGATGTGGGAGATCTGTGTTGTGTTCCCGGTTCCCCAACTTTGGGGCTGGCTGTTGTGGGCATCTGGGGAGTAAACCAGTAGACGAGAGCACTTTCTGTCTGTCTGTCTCTTGCACCTCTGCTCCTCAAAAACAGAACAGAACAGAACAAAGGTCGTGGCTGAAATCAGTACACATTTGTTACCTTGCAGTTCTGGAGGGCAGAACTGAAAGGGCCTCACTGGGCTCAAATCAAGCTGTGTCCGTTCTGCACTGCCTTCCTTGCCTTTCCCAGTTTGTAGAGGCCGCTCAGGTTCCCTGGCTCACGGCCGCCTTGCTCCATCTTCCAAGTCAGCAGTGACTACTGAGTCTTCCTCACAGCTAGCTCATCCCTCTCACTCTCACTCTGCACGCTCTGACTGCGCGGGGCCTATTTCTATCATCCACGACAATCTCCCCATCTCACGTTCAGCTGATTAGCAACCTTAATTTCATCTGCAGACTCCGTTCCCCCTTGCCACCTAACAACCTTTTCCCAGGCTCCAGGGATCGGAATGTGGACTTGTTTGGCAGAGACAATATTACGCCCCCACAGGGGGAGACTGTGCACATAATCTGGTGTAAGTCCCGCAGAGCCTCCAGCAAGCCATCCCTGACACCCCCAAAACTAGGTCAGGGAACTTGCTAGGCGACTCCTGTGGTCACGTGCACCTCTCGTCCCTCAGCACTGGGCGTGTCTCTTGTCTGCCTGTGAGGTGAGACCACTTGTTCATTCTGGATTATTTGTCTCTTCATTAAAACATAAGGACCACTTGGGTGGAGATCTGGGTGGGTTTCCTGGAAATCAGAAGGGTACTGTATTCTCATAAATCTCTTAACCTTCTGTAGTGAAGGCGCTGTCTGATATTTGTTGAGTGGATGAACCGTCTCTCTGTCACTAGCCTGGTCACTAGCACGGAGCAGCTGCTGGATGCTTTGAGGGGGCTGCTGCTACTGTTAACACTTCTGCTCATTTTCATTGAGCCCTTGCTAGGAGCCAGGCACTGCAAAAGGACTTACATCCATCAAAACTGAAGGAGGGGCTCTCTTTCCCCCATGCTATACAGAAGGATACAAAATTTCCAGAAGTTAAACCATGTACCTGTGGTCAAATGGCCTAAGAGGAGGTTGGACTTGGATCATGTCCTTCTGACACCCAGGACGCGCTTCTCTTCCAGCTGCTTTGAGAAGTATTGTCTGCCTCTGGCTTCCGGGCCTCAGCTGGCCCCTGTGGAATTCCAGAGAAGGCAGCTCAACCTCAGCCCGAGGTGATGCTCCCCGTTCACAGCAACTCACAGTGCGAACAGCCAGGAGGGTGCACCCTCCCCTAGAGAATGGGAGCCAGCTGTTAAGCAGACGTGAGGTCTCATAAAGAAAAACAGGCGCATTTGACAGTGCAGTGGGAAATCTCCCTACAGAGGAACAATTTGGGATTCTCTGGAGGCCAGTAAGCCAAGCTCTCAGTAGTGACAGTAGATATTGTCCTAAATCAAGTGTTTCTGTATGACAGCGCTAGTGATGCGCTCTCAGCCTTCTCTCTTTCTTTCTTTCTTTTTTTAAATATATACATATACATATATTCAAATGACAGTGACAGAAAAAGGGAGAGATAGAGAGAGAATGAATCTTCTATCAACTGGTTCACTTCCCATATGCCCACAAGAGCTGGGACTGGGCCAGGCCAAAACCAGAAACCAAGAACTCCATCTGAGTCTCCCATGTGGGTGGCAGGGCCCCAAACATTTGAACCATCATCCGCTGCTTTTCCCAAGCACATTAACAGGAAGTTGGATCACAAGTGAGTAGTCATGACTCAACTCAACTGGCACTCCCGTATGGGACGTACAGCAGGGAGCTGGAGCAGAAGTGGGGTAGGCGGGATTCAACCCAGCGTGTTGATGTGGGACGTGGAGTCCCAAGTGGTAGATTAACCCAGGAACCAGAACACCTGCCCTCTCTGTATCCCTGCCTTCACCACCTAGGGAGACAGGACCTCATCAGAAGATCACGGGATTTCACCCGTTGGCATAATGCCCCAGCCCCGTCGATTTAGAACACTCTGGATCATCTGTGAGTCAGACCTGCTTGGCTATACGGTGTTCACCCAATAAATCCGAGAGGGAACAGCTGCCTTTACTGCCAGTTTAAGACTGCATATAAGTTCTCTAGAAAAGTTTGTTAAACGCCCTGGCCTGAAACACCAGCATCCCATCTGGGCACCGGTTTGAGTCCCGGCTGCTCCACTTCCGATCCAGCTCTCTGCTGTGGCCTGGGAAAGCAGTAGAAGATGGCCCAAGTCCTTGGGCCCCTGCACCCATGTGGGAGACCTGGAAGAAGCTCCTGGCTCTTGGCTTCGGATTGGCGCAGCTCCAGCCATTGCAGCCAATTGGGGAGTGAACCATCAGATGGAAGACCTCTCTCTCTTTCTCTCTCTCTCTGCCTCGCACTGTGTAACTCTGACTTTCAAATAAATAAATAAATCTTTTTTTTTTTTTTTAAAGAAAAGTTTGTTAAAGACAGAGCAACAGGGGCCAGGGTTGTGGCACAGCAGGTAAAGCCACTGCCTGCGACATCAGAATCCCATATGGGTGCTGGTTCAAGTTTCAGCTGCTCCATTTCTGATCCAGTTCCTTGCTAATGACCTGGGAAAAGTAGAAGTGTTTGGGCCTCTGCTTCCCATGTGGGAGACCCAGATAAAGCTGCTGGCTCCTGGTTTCAGCCTGGCCCAGAGCTGGTTGCTGTGGCCATCTAGGGAATGAACCAATGGATGGTAGATCTCTCTCTCTCCCCCACCTTTCTGCCCCCCTCATAACTCTAACTTTCAAAAAATACATAAATCTTTTACAAAGAGCAACATAATGCAAAGGGAAAGTCAGCAATGGCTTTATTCATTCATCAACAGGTGTTGAGCCCCTGTGCTGGGCTCTGTGCTGGACAGTGAGGACTCTGCTGGGGGCAGGAACAGTGTGGCAGCAGGGCTGCCCTCTGTCCTAACACCCAACACTTGGCACAGGTCGCAGGTGCTTAACAGGCAGCATCGTCGCCTTGGAGATGGGAAGACTGATGGTAGCGGCAACTGTAAGGGGAGAAGATGGCCAAGGATTTGGAAACAGCACTGGCAAAAGCAGGACAGCAGGCAATGGTGGCCCAGTAGTGACAGGGCGGCACTGAACTTTATTGAGATATAATCTGCAACCCACAAAATTCACCTTTTAAAGTGTGCTATTACCTGGTTTTCAGTAAATTTAGCCAGCTGTGTGGCATCCTTATTGTCCAATTTTAAAATAGGATTCTGCATGCCTATAGTGATTCCTCCTTCCCACCCCCAACTCCAGCACACCATATTAGACAAACTTCCTGTGAAGTTTTGCTTTTCCAGGACATTTCATATAAATGGAATCAGACAATGTGTGGTTGTGTGTGTGTGTGTGTGTGTGTGTGTGCCTCCACTTAGCATGGTGTCTTTGAAGTCCCTCCATATTGTAGCACGTTTTGGTACTTTATTCCTTTTTATTGCTGGAGAGCATTCCATTGTATGGATTCACCATACTTTATTCATCTATCTACCAATTGACAAACATTTGAGTAATTTCCACTTTGGGGCTATTATGTTTCTTTTTTTTAAGATTTATTTTTATCTATTTGAAATAGTTACAGAGAGATATAGAAACAGAGAGAGAGAGAGAAAGGTCTTCCATCCACTGGTTCACTCTCCAAATGGCAGCAACAACCAGAACCCAACCAATCTGCAGCCAAGAGCCAGGAGCTTCTTCTAGGTCTCCCACGTGGGTACAGGGGCCCAAGGACTTGGGCCATCTTCTGCTGCTTTCCCAGGTTCATTAGCAGGGAGCTGGATTAGAAGTGGAGCAGCTGGTACCTGAATGGGCACCCATATGGGATGCCGGGACTGCAAGCCAGAGCTTTAACCCACTGCACCACAGTGAGTGTGGGTCTATTATGAATAACGTTACTATGAACAATCTTGTGTGCCAGTCTATGTTCTCTTGGTGGGTACCTAGTAGGGGGATTATTAGATAGTATAATAAATTTATAATTAATTTTTAGAGCCTGTACTTAATTATTTTTATTTCCTTTTTAAGATCAGATTTATTAAGATATCATTTGTGGGGCATTGTGGTACAGTGGGTTAAGCAGCCACTTGCAATGCTGGAATCCCATATTGGAATGCTGGTTTAAGTCCCAGCTGCTGAACTTCAGATCCAGTTTTCTGCTAATGTGCTTGAAAGGGCAGCAGAAGATGGCCCAAGTGCTCGAGCCCCTGCCACCCATGTGGGAGACTCAGATGAAGGATCTGGCTCCTGGCTTCAGCCTGGCCTAGACCTGTTCCATTTGGGAAGTGAACCAGCAGAAATGGAAGATGGGTCGATCTCTCTCTCGCTTTCTTCTCCTTCTTCTTTTCCTTCTCCTTTTCTTCTTCTTCGTCACTTTCAAGTAAATAAATAATTTTAAAAAGATATAACTCATTGATTTAAAATGTATAACTCTAGGTCTGCATGGTGGCATAGCAGGTTAAGCTATTGCCTGCAACGTTCCTACCACCCACATGGGAGACCCGAACGGAGCTCCAGGCTCCTGACTTCAGCCCAGCCTGTCTCAGGCCATCGCGGCCATTTGGGTAAAAAAGAGTGGATGGAAGATCTCACCCTTTCTGTAACTCCGCCTTTTAAACAAAATAAATAAATCTTTAAAAAATAGTAAAAATATATAACTTAATTACTTTTGATATCTTTATAGAGTTGCATAACCATCACCCTCATCACACTCTGATTTTGGGACATTTCTGTCATTCTGAGAGGACTTCCTGTCCATCTATTGTTGCTTTATGTTTTCACTCCTAGCCCTAGGCAACCTTTAACTCACTTTCTATTTCTACACATTTGCCTTTTCTAAACATTGCATACATGGATCCATCAAAAAGATTGCAGAAAAATGGAATTCAAAGATAGCTTATTTATTATTTTTTTAACCCAGAAACCTTTTATTTAAGGTATACAAACTTCATGCATTTCATAAATACAAATTCTTCCCACCTACACTCCCACCCTTCTTCCTCCCTCTCCTATTCCCATTAAAAATAGCTTATTTTGGAGCAAAATTTTTGAAGTCTATGCATAATTTTTTATAATTTGCATTTTCTCGTAACTTTTGAAAGACACTTTGTATGCATGGATTTCAAAATATCTTGTTTTTCAGACCAATGGGTTCTTCCAATTTAAACAATTATTTGTTTATATTTCTTTGAAAGGCAGAGTGACAGAGAAAGTGATCTTCCACCTGTTAATTCACTCCCCAAATTCTGTCAACAGCTGGAACTGGATGGGCCAAAGCCAGGAGCCAGGAACTCCATCCAGGTCTCCCACGAGAGTGGCAGCAACCCAGGTACTTGAGCCTTTATCTGCTGCTTCCCAGGGTGCCCGTTAGTAGGAAGCTGGATGGGAAGGAGGGGTGGGGCTCAGACCCAGGCACCCAATGGGGGATGCAGGCGTCCCGGGCAGCAGCTTAGCCCACTGTGTCACAATACCCATCTATCAAAATATCTTTTCATTCCGCTTTCCACAGTCTTTTTGAAGCCCCCTCACGTGCATCTTGCAATATGTGGTCTTTTGTGTCTGACTTCTTTCCCTGGCCATGATCTTTAAGATGCATTTACACTGGACAGTGTGTCGGTTCTTTGCTCCATTTTACTTCAAATATCGCATTGTATGGCTATTCCATATTTTGTTTCTCCACTCAGCAGTGAATGGACATTGGGGTTGTTTCCACTTTTGTCTGTATGAGCAATACTGCTATGCACACTCATGGACACATTTTTGGGTGTGTGGCTTTGTTCCCATTTCTCTGGAGTAGAGTGAAATTGCTGGGTCATATTTAACCTTTTAAGAAACTGCCACACTGTTTTCCAAAATGGTTACACCATTGTACATTCTCATCAGCAATATAGGAGGGTTCTACCTTCTCCCTATCCAATTATTAACAGATAATTGTTATTATCTGTCTTTTTTATTAGGGCTGTAATAGTATAGATGAAGTGGTGATTCACATGGTTTTAGCCTGTGTTTCTTTAATGACTAAGAATGCTGAACATTTTCTCATGTGCTTACTGGCCCTTGGAATATCGCCTTGGGTGAAATGTCCATTCGAATCTTTTGCCCCAGGAGTGAGCATGTAGCTGAGAGGTCAAGATGCCCACACGACACAGCAGAGTGGCCGGGTCCCTTTCACGGCTCTGGCTCCTGACTCTGGCCATTCTCTGCTGCCTCCCAGGATCCATTAGCAGGAAGGTGAACTGGAAGCAGAGCAGCCAGGACCTGAAACAGCGCTCCAGTATGGGATGAGGGGTCCCACGCGGCAGTGTAGCCTACTGCACCGCAGCACCCACCCCATATTTTGCCCATTTTGAAATTATTTATCTTCTTACTGTTGTGTTACAATAACTCTTTTATTGGGGATGGAATGTAAATTTTTCCCTCCCAGTCTGTGGCTTACATTGTTATTTTCTTAACCATATCGCTTGAAAATTTTGGAGGAAAAAAAGAGCAGACAGAGCCGTGCTTCAGAAGGAGTCTGGCAGCGTTGCATGGGAAGGATCAAAGGGGACAGCCAGCTCTTCTTCTAAGTTATAACAAAGGAAATAGACACAAACCGGGTTTCTTAAAGTCCTCTGGGAGCTAAAGGGTTCCAGGCAGCTATTTACTGGAGCCTGTTTACAGTCCAGTTAATCAGTAAACCAGAATCGTGAAACTACCAATCTGGGCAAGTGCAGAAAACTTTTCTAAAGGTTTTCCTGGATTAAGAGAGAAAGAAAATGAGGGAGCAGCGCTGCGTGGCTCCTGCGGAGCTGCATAAATAATTTCCAGCATCGGGCAGGACCGCTCGGAGCTCCCTCCCAGTTCCGTCACACTGGTGTCTCCCGGGGAGGGGCCGGGCAGAGCTGCTTCTTGGCCCCTTGAATTTTGACTGGGGAGGTGGGCGCGTTTCAGCGGCTCCCCCTGAAGAAGCCCGGCAAGATGTCAGCCCCGCTGGCAATCGTCCTCCACCTCCTCCTCCTCTTCAAGCTCATCACCCCCGTGACCTTTCGCCACCACCGCTACGATGACCTGGTGCGGACGCTGTACAGGGTGCACAACCAGTGCCCCCACATCACCCGGGTCTACAGCATTGGGCGCAGTGTGAAAGGGAGAAACCTCTACGTGCTGGAATTCAGCGACTACCCGGGAATCCATGAGCCCTGTAAGTCCTGGGTAGTCCCTGGGATATGTGGGGTGGTGGCTGGGGACAGCTGGGGACCCCACCACCCGAGAGCGTCGCCTCTTCCTCAGCCTGTGGTAAGTGTCTCCTCCTTCACGCACCAGTTGCCCCTGCCTCTGGGGCGTCTTAGGCCCCTGCCCTTCCCTCCCTTCTTTCTGCTGCTCCAGATCTTCGTGGTGAAGGATGACTCCGCCTGCTCTCCCCGCCCCCTTCCCTTCCCTCTTACTATCTTCTTTTTCCCTTGTGATTATTCTGTCTTTCAGGGTCCAGTGACTCGGGAGACTTAAAAAGAAGCAATTAGCCCTTCTCGTTCATCCAAGAAACTTAGAGGGGTTTAGGGCTGCATGTCTCAGGAATGGTGGCATGGAACCCTAGAGAGAATTTGGGGGCTTGGGTATTAGCTTTAATTACCGGATTCTTTCTTGTTAGTTTGTTTCTATCATAAAAGGAATTAATATTTGGGTTAAAAATTAGAAATTTTTAGACAAGAAAAAAAACAGTATCCACCCATAATCCCACGGCACAGATAACCATTGTTATACGTATTGATGTACGTCTCCGTATGATTTCTATGCATACTTAAGCCTACATCTCACACACATAGGTGAGATAGGTGTTTATAAAAGTGGAATCATACTGTAATTTCTTTTCTCATAGTCTTTTTAAAATTTTGAAAATTTATTTTCATTTTATTTGAAAGAGAGAGAGTTCTCCCACTGATTTGCTCCACAAATACCTGCAACAGCCAGGACTGGGCCACTCCAAATCAGGAGCCAGGAACTCCATCCTGGTCTCCCGCATGGATGGCATCACCCACTGCTTCCCAGGTACATTTGCAGGAAGCTGAATCAGAAGCAGAGCAACTGGGACTCAACCCAGCATGCTAATATGGGATGCCAGCATTGCAAGCACAGCTCACAGTGCCATCAGCAACACCTAATGATACAACATCAATTTTTTGACTGTATAACATTCCATTGCACGGTTCTGCTTACCTGCTCATGCATTGATGGACATTTCAGTTGCTTCTGATTTCACACTGCTGTACAGCAATTCTGACATTCAAGGTATGTCAGTTCCTCCTTCACATTGTCACCCTCAAATCTCTTCTCCTTTCCATTTCCACATCCCTAGGTCTAACCCAGGCTCCCTCACAACCTCCTAGGTTGTCGCACTGAACTCCTAACTGGTCTCTCAACTCTGACTGCTTCTACTCTCTGAAAATTCCATTTGGCACTCAGATGCCAGGATAATTTTCCTAAATACTGATGTAACCTTGTCACTCTCCTGCTTTCTAATCTCACACCTAGTGGATTCTGCTCATGACAACTTCAGAATATGACACAGGAGAGGCTCTGGGAGCGCCCTGTGGCTATGTGGAGGACAGGGACCTTGCTTTGAGGCTGCGCTCGCATGGCAGGTGCCCTGTCTATTTCAGATTGTATGTTCATTGTGGAAGCTCATGGGTGTTAATGGACATTGCAGGGTCAGCCCCCAACTCCATGTCCCCTTCTTGGTACTTCTGTATTTTCTAGCATTCAAAGCCTCCCTTGAACGTTTTTCATATAACACTAGCCTCGCCAATATCTCTTTTCTTTTAAGCACATTAGCTGTTCCTCCATTAATTCCTTTCATTCATTCATTCCACAAATGTTTGCTTATCACTTACCACGCGCAAGCATTTTTGTAGGCTCTCAAAGCAACAATTCTAGCGGGTAATATGGGCAATTAATGGGTAACTAAGTAAATATAGGTTGTATCAGATGGAAATAGTGCTAAAGAGAAAGCACACTGTGAGAGACAAGGATGCCCAGGGGCATCGGGGAGTGCCGGGAAAGCCTCCTCCGCTGGGTGGGCTCGGAGCACATCAGAGGGATGTGGGGCAGCAGGCCGTGCTGACACTGGGAGGAGAGGCTGGCAGGCAGAGGAAGAGCGAAGGCAGTGCTCCCGAGCTGGAACGTGCTTGTCACAGGCGAGGAACAGCAGAGTGAGAGCGGGAGAGCAAGAGGTGAGGTTGGGGCCGGCTGGGCAAGGACCCTGGACAACAGGAGATCATGGAGGGCTCATGGGCCTTTGCAAAGAGTCTGGCTTCTACTCTGAGTACAGTGAGAAGTCACTGGGCGGTTTTAAGCCGAAGAGGGTCATGATCTGACTGAAATTTTTCAAAGCTCTCTTACAGCAGGTCAGCAAGCTACAGCCCAAGGGCCAGCCACCTGTGTTGGTAACTGAGGTTGTACTGGGACATGGTCGCCTCTCTTTGTTTCTGTATTAGCTGTGGCTGTGTTTGGCTGGAAGAGTTGAGTAGCTATGAAAGAAAGAGTGTGGCCCAAAAGTTTTCACTTCCTTACCCTTTACATAAAAATGCTACCAACCCAGGCTCAGCGCCTGAGCAGATGTGGGGAGACCAAGGTGAAGGTTAATTGCAAAAATCCCAGCTTTCTAGCACATTTTAAAGCAATTGTGGTATTCAGGTAAGGGTGCAAGGAAAGTGACAATGGCTTTCGTGAGAACTGGTTGCATTCTGGCTGTATTGAAAGTAAAGCCAGGGTCAAATAAGGCCCTGGCCTACAGTGCCAGCATCCCATATGGCACCAGTTTGTGTCCTGGCTGCTCTACTTCTGATCCAGCTCCCTGCTAATGTGCAATGGAAGATGGCCCAAGTGCTTGGGCCCCTGCACCTAGGTTGGAGACCCAGAGGAGCCCCTGGCTCCTGGCTTCAGATCGGCTCAGTTGCAGCTGTTTCAGCCATTTGAGGAGTGAACCAGTGGATAGAAGACCTCTGTCTCTCCATCTCTACTTCTCTCTGCAACTCTTTCAAATAAATAAAATAAATCTTAAAAAAAAAAAAAGTAAAGTCAAGAGTGTTTGATATTGAGTATTGGCTAAGAACATGGTACTGGGCTAGGTTCTGTGGGGCAGTGGTTCAGACTTTTTAACTTCACAGAGAAGTTTTTAAAAAGTCTTCTTAAACGAGAGATTTGGAAGAGTTAAAATAGATTTTCCAAACTCTATTATACCAAAAAAGAGTGTGAAGAAAACTACCTGTCATCTGCTATCACCACTCTTTCCTCAGAGAGCGGACGTTCCAGCACCAAGAAAAGTAAGATACAGTCCAGGATTAAGGACTGCTCTGAGGTTAAAGCGCTCACATAATGGGACATCTGCTGCATGATCCTTGAGGGCTGTAAGCATTCCTTTGGAAAAGACTTCAGAAGGTACATTGAGATTAATGATAATGGATTATGCCTTCAAGAAACTTAAACACATACATTGATAGGGCCAGTCCGGTGAAGGAAATACAATAAGTGCAAAAACAGGGAAATCCAGAGTTAGAAGCGTAAGTATCAGAAAAGGGAAGTGAGCACAGCACACACTGCTGGCCAGCAGAGCCCAGGGTGGCTTCACAGAGTAGAGGCCTTTTGAGCTGGGCCTGGACGGATGGAAGGCAGGGAGTTGCAAACAGAGAAAGTCATGGAGGCAGGCAAGTGTTGAGTAGAGAAGTCACTGGACAAAAGCTTTTATCCTACCTTATAAAAGGAAAAAGAACGATTTTCTTTAAACATTTTGTTTATTTTATTTACTTGAAAGGCAGAGAGATAGTGACAGACACAGAGAGATCTTCCATCCACTGGTTCACTCCTTGAATGACTTCAACAGATAGGGCTGGGCCAACCTACACTAGCAGTCAGGAACTTAACTGGGTCTCCCACATGGGTGACAGGAATCCAACTACTCCCTGCTGCCTCTCAGGGTGTGCATTAACAGGAAGCTGGATCAGAAGTGGAGCAAAGACTGTGAGCCCAGGCAGTCAGAGATGAGACTCAGGTGTCCCATGAAGCATCTTAACTGCTGTGCCAAATGCCTGCCCCAAGAATGATTCTACTGGCTCTTTTCAGAACCTCAATTCTCACCTCAACGGAGCAGGTAACATGGCCCAAGAGAAGACCAAGGAACGAGATATAAGTAGATCCATCCCTTTTCTGGGCCTCAGAATATGGCCTTCTCAGACGAGGAGGAGAGCTCTTACTTCCCTAGGTGCCAGAAAACTAAGCTTTCAACTGGGATGATCAACTATTATGTGAGTGTTTTGTGCGAGCAGGCTTTGGGGAAACACCATCCTTACTCTGAATCTCTGAGCAGCAGCGCGCTACTGTAAATGCCTGTTGGGCTTTGGCCTCCCTGTGTCCATTAGCTAGGCAGGCACCAACCCTCTTCCCTCCCTAGTTCCCGCACCCCGAGGCTAGTCACGCCTGCTTTAAGCACTGCTGTGATGCCAAGCAGTCATGAACACAGGTGGCTAGTGCACCATGTGTTCCACCGAGAGTGGGCGTTGTGAGCCCACTTTTATAATTGCACTTGGTTAGGAAGCAGCTCAAGGACTATTAGATGAGATCCAATGGAAGCATGAAATTCTCTTCTATTCGCTTTTGAAAGAGAAAAACTCCCTTTCCGAGGGCAGGCATCAAAGGCACTTACAAACTTCCGGTTTTTTTCTCTTCCCGTACGCGCGTTTCCCTGCCGGCAGTGGAACCGGAAGTCAAGTATGTGGGGAACATGCACGGCAACGAGGTGCTGGGCCGTGAGCTACTGCTGCAGCTGTCCGAGTTCCTGTGCGAGGAGTTCCGCAACCGGAACCAGCGCATCGCCCGGCTCGTCCAGGACACGCGCATTCACATCCTGCCGTCCATGAATCCCGACGGCTACGAGGTGGCCGCTGCCCAGGTACGGAGCCCCAGGGACATGTGTGCCATCTTGGGAAATAACGGAGAAGCCAGGAAACGATGTGGCCTCACCGTCCTGCTGCAAATGTCGCTCAGAAATGAAAGATAAAATGGCCAAGAGAAATCGTAGTGATGA